GCATTACCACTAGTGCCTTGGCTCCTTTTGTTCGGGTTTAGAGCCGGCAGTTGCCAGCTGTTGGTAGTTAAGACTGAGTTTGGTAAGGCTTCATTGACTTCATTGGTTGAAAAGGTGTGGGTGTGATTAGTCGTCCTTTAGTGACTCAAAATCTGTTTGATATGCTCTGAGAGAAGGTGGGTTTTGAATCAAAATTTTTTGGGATCAAAAAGTTAAAGTTTTCAGTGATAGTTCTTTGGTTTAAGGTGAATAAATATAGGTTATATATGAGAAATAGCTTAAAAAAGCTTCTTGTATAAATTTTCTATCTATATTTATATGATTTCTTATAGCTAAATTTTTTTAAGGATATAATTTAGATCTTTAAGCTATAATATCTGTCAAAAGACATAATACAAACTTCACTAATAATACCACTAACATATAAATATAATAATAACTAAAAAATCTCTACAAAAATCTAGTTTCTTTGTCTAAGCCTTCTCCCTGAACCTTTTTAAACCCCTCAACCCCTTCTAAGCACATGTTAAATTCCACTTACTTGCACAGATCATCTCATAGTAATATTCTTTTTTCCATTTATTGGAAAATCACTGCGAAAAATTGCCACAGCTGTGGCCACTACTTGAGCTGACCATTTTATTTATTAAAATATTTATTTAAATGCAGCCCAGCTGCTGACTCTCTCCTCTCCTTCTACCCTACCCCCTGCTTTGAATGAAAACAAAAGCTAGTCCAAAATGGAAATAATAAAAGTGAAAAGTTCTTGCTGGTTGCATATAAAAATGTCTGACACGTTGCAAAAAACAACTAACAAAAAAAAGGGAATAGTAAAAATGGTAAAAATGGGGTAAAAAAAATATATAGTAACTGAAAAAACAAAAACGCTGCTGGCCAAGAGAGAGAAAGAGAGGGAAAAACTAACAAACGGCGGACAAATGGCAAGGCTAAGTCCAAATGAACACAAAAACAAAACAGGGCTCACACACACACACCCCCCATACACACATGCCTTGCTGGCCATAAAAAGTCACTCAAGTGGTATTAAATGTACCACCAAGTGCAGTCGGCATCGGGAAATGGCAAGTGGCAAAACTGAAACTGTAAGAGGAGCGGAGGTAGGAGCAGGTCTTGGAACCGAAACGGAAACGGAAGCTGGAAGGAAGGGAGCAAGAGCCGAGCCTCGAGGAGCACCTGGCACAAAAGGTTAAGGATACATCCCGACCCACACACACAGATACACACAGAAATCGCATGTGTACTCTCGCATGTGAAAATAGAGAAATCTGAAAAGTTCTGGGAATCGACTTTTAATATCCTGTAGAATTTGAAAACAAAGGGTATACTGAACTGAGTGGAAAAATAATCTAGAAAAAAAGTAATTTCAACAAGAAAATTATTAAATAATAAAGAAAAGAAATATTTGTTAATACTGATCAATTAAAAAATAATTAATTTGCATTGAAAAAATAATAAATAAATGTCCTTTTGTGAAGCTGCTTTAGAAAACACTTGTAGTTTAATTTTAAACCAAATTTTGGTTAATAGGTACTTCACAGTCGCATCCCTCTCCTTGAGATCTGGTTTCCCCGCTTCATTTTCCGTGTAATTTTTGATTGAAACTGAGTGCTCCCACTCTCCACCCCCCTCCGCCCACTTATTTATTTTTTGGGGAAAAACTTTGTCCGAGGCATTAGGCATTCTTTTACACTTAACTGCCAAAAAGGTGGCGGAGACGGCCAGCTGTTGCTTCTGGCCTAAGGCCAATCCGAAGCTCAATGGCTACAACGCTTTTGACCAAAAAGATTTTATTGTGCACTGGCACGAGACAAACAGGCGAAAAATAAAGGGAACAAAAAATGAAATAAGACCGCTGCTGCACTCCCCCTTCGCCAAATAAAAGTAATAAGCGAAAAAGGGTTTTTCATTTCTGACCAACACCCAACACACCCAACACACACATCTCAGCTCAGCTCACAGCTGGGGCCAGCGGCACAACAATGGAAATGTTTAGAGAAATTAAACCAGGACACGACGACTATTGCGGTGCACCGAAGCCTGCAATACCCTTGCAAAAAAAAATAAAAAGGGTGTACTGGAAGGGGTTGAAAGGGGAGTGGTTAAGGAGGTAACAGCACCTGCCAGCGACAGCCCCTAACTGGGTCAATTTAAGTGGCCCCCGCGTAAGTGGTTAACTATTTTACCCACTTGTCGTCATCAGCAGTTAACAGCGATTGGTTTTTGATGTAAGGAAATAAATTAGAAATTTGTGCCAAAGTCTTAAATAAAAAAAGAGCCATTAAAAGGGTGTTTCAGGTACAGGAACTTATTACTAGATGATTAAAATCAATTTTAAAGAATTTAAAGCCCTAACAACTCACAATAAAGTATATAAAATATATAAAAAAAACATTCAATCTACAAAAACCTTTAATTACAAACCTTAATACAACACTCCAAAGGGTATATAATAATCAATTAAAGGATTTTCCAGCTGAAAACACTGAATGACTAATTGATCCTTTTCGGTTTTTGGCAATGCCTGAAAAACATTGAATAACTAATTGATCCTTTTGCCACATTCCAGGCCACTGAATAGACTTGTTGAACAAACAAATATACTATATATAGAACGCTGTTTCATGCATATATAAATATCTAAACTAAAAAATCCATTTGCCATTCCATTTACCATAAATCTACAACTATTTCGGCAGTGAAATGTAAGCCAAAACCGAAATGAAAGCAAACAAAGCCAGAAAAACACACATACACTACTACAACAAATTTTCACTTTTATGCAACTTTCGTTTAAAGCCAAAAATAAAGGGGAATTCCGGGTGAAGGGGGGCGGCTGCATAAACTTTTACCAGCTCATAAAACGCTCAGAAACAAGCAAACAAAATCGAAATCGGCCATAAAAATTGCACAGCGGGGTCAGATTCACATTCAGATTCAGTTAGTTGAGATTGTGTGTGTTTGGTCCGGCGGATTGATTTCCTTTCCTTTTTCGGGGAAAAACTCGAAGCCAAGCCAAGATGCAAGTGCAAACAAATGAAAAGCAAACGCCAGGCGATGAAAATCAAAAGTAACGTTCTTCTACCAAACTTTTCCAGCAGCGATAGTAAAAAGATTAAGGATTTCCCCTCGAAACGTTGCTTAGGAATCGCTCATCCGCCCTGTTGGCCCCGCAACGTTCGAGACTATTGAAAGTTTTCACTTTTCCCATGCATACTTTACGGTGCTCCAAGTTTTCCCAGGCAGCGTTTTTTACGATCCTCCTCGTTTCCCCCTGATTTGGGGCCATCGTAAAATAGCTGGAACAGCCATCGCCTGATGGCAAACGTGTTCCAATTAAACGCCTAGTGCCCTGCCCCGCCTTCGTACCGTCCACGCCCCCCAACGCGTATAGTTAATTTAAATGAAATTTGTAAATTTCGTTTGACGGCACGTGACACATGCAAATATGGCAAATAAAAATTACAACTCATAAAAATTGACTCCCCCCAAACCAAGGGGCATTATTTCGCTCATGAAACAGTGTAGTAAATGGGGACTACACGGGGAGAAAATAGGTATATTTGGAAACAAAAAGAGTTTCATTGTATGTAAAATATTTTGAAATATTTTGAGTGATTTTTAATTATTTTTTAAAGCTTTTATTTCGAGGTCTTATTTATTTATATTATTTTTCCTATTTAAACTTCTTATTTTCCTCTCGGTGCACTTAAAAAATAACGCCAAAATGTCGCAACTTGTAGCTGTTCCACAGCTGCCACGCCCATACGCGCCATAAAAGTGTAACATAAGGAGGGAGGAGGAGTAGCAGCAGGAACAAGGGTCGGAGGAGTAACACAAAAGCCAAAGAGAACCTCGACTAGGGGCACGGACTGGGGCACTTTAACAAATTGTTCATATGCCTTAAATTCAGAACACACACACACTCTGCTCCACAATTTAACTTTTGTTTCCAATGATGCGCAAAGTTGATTAAAATGTTGCAATTCCTATTCGCTAATTGAAAGGCAAAACTGTCGCGTTGCCTTGCCTACAAAGGTAATTGCCAGCGGGGGAGGAGCAGGACTCTACACACATACGCATCAAAGAATTTACGTCCAGTCAATCAAAGGTTAATTGCAAATTGTTGCAAATCAAAGGATTTTATTATGCGGGCCATAGACTACTATTCGAAATGTGCCATAAGTTGTGTAGTAAGTAAGCCATAAAGTTTCATCGCAACTCGCACTTCACATGCATTTTAATCACATAAAACTCACTTATCCTGGCAACATTTTGCGTCATTTGTAAGGAGGCACAAGTGTAAAAGCGATAGACGCGCACGAAGGATGCTTATGAGAGTGCTTTGCCAGGATAAAGGGTATGTTAACTATGAGGATAATGGGAAAGTCAACTCAACAAGAGAGAAAATGTAATGAAAATGAGACTTTGTCTTGTAGCTGGAATAATGAGAGTATATTAAAAAAAAAGCACTATTTTCTATAGTGTAGAGAGTGTATAATGCGTACCTACCTTTTCGATTTCCCTTCTCCATTTTTTTGCACATTTTCCTTGGAGTATTTGTAGTACATACATGGCGTATGCGCAACATTTGCCAGCAAACAAATTTATGCGGCAACATATAAATCGTGTAACTGTAGCTGCCACAGTTGCTGCTACTACTACCAAAAACTCTAGCTACGCAGCTGGCTCTGAAGGCAAATAGTTTATGCGAAAAAAGGCTCCAACAGAAAAAAAAATTACACAGAGAGGCAGCGAGGAGGGAAAGTTTGCAATTTGTTTGGCACAGAACATCTTAATTTAATAAAGTGCCCCGGGAAAACTGAAGGGCGGCGGCCAGCAGCAAATTTGGAAATTGTTTGGCCTGCACGCAGATAAATCTCAATTAGGGAATGCTTGAATGCAGCAATAAACAGTTGGGCCTCCGAATAAATATATATAGTATATATATTTCCCAGTTTTATGGAAAAGTTAGAGCCCTGTTTCGTTCACTCAAACTCTGACGAGTTTTCGCTTTTTTTTTTATTCAAAGGTTTCTTTTTTTTTCGTTCCAACAAAAAGGTTTTTCGATTTTTTTTCCTAATAATTGACACAATTTCTAGTTATAGAAATAGTTGCAATATTTTTTGTTAACAAATAATAAATAATAATTAAAAATAAATCTTTCAAGTGACAAAATCAATCTGAGAGTTAATGCAACTTCGGTCTGCTTTTTAAAAAACTTGAACGCGATGATTTTCACGATCGCACACCAGGATATTTCCATTGGACATTATGGCCACGCCCTCGAGTCCTTTGAACTCCGAATCGCCAGAGCCCCAGGAGCCGAAGGTCTTCAGGAAGCTGCCATCCGGATTAAAGATCTGTATGCGATTGTTGCCTGAATCGGCCACAAATATATAGCCCTGATCGTCCACGGCCACGCCACTGAAAAATAGTGTAAAAAAGAAACAACATTTAACACTTTCTGGCAATTAAAAAACCGGTAATTCAATTTACTAACCGCGGAAACTTGAACTGGCCATCGTCGGAGCCCTCACCGCCAACGGTGGACAGGACCTTGCCGTTCACATCGAAAATCTGTGGAGCCGGATGTCGAGGAGGTGAAAAAGGTGACCAAATAAATTGCAAACGTATCTCGGATTGTGAGCATATTTTAATTAAAATTGCTCACATGGCCAGACAGGCATGAAAGGTAAAAGGGGGTTCGCTGCTCGGACACTCACCTGAATCCTGTGGTTATTCGAGTCGGAAACAATCACACGATTCGTATTCGATACGGCTATATAATGGGGATGCTCAAGTTGTCCCTCGCCACGGCCGCAGGAACCAAATTTGCCAACGAAGGAGCCATCGGATTGGAAAACCTGACGAATGCGAATATTTCGATATAAGTTTGCAAATTGAAATGGCCAGAGAGGGAGTATATATATAGTGTATATACAGTGTATATATATTCCCAGTTAAGCTCATGAAAATTGCTGAGCTGCAGCTCGAGTGTGACAAATTGGGCAAGGTACGGCCAACAGGGAGGGTATATATAAATATTTGCATGCAAATCGAGATTGAAGATGGAGGCAAGGGCTGAAAAATGGTAGCTAGGAGCTCCACTGCTTCCTCAACTCACCTGCACTCTGTGGTTCTCCTTATCGCACACGTAAATGAAGCCGAGTGCATCGGTTGTTACGCCCCAAGGATAATTGAATTTGCCATCTGCGGTGCCCTGTGAACCGAAGGCGCGCAGGAATCGTCCTTGCGGATCGAGCACTTGTATGCGATGATTGTATCTGCAATTGAAGTGGAGAGAAAACAGTGTACGGTGAAAGGGGATATCATCGGGAAAGCAAGGGTTTCTCTTCAGTGGTAGATAATATCTAGTTTAATAATTAAATAAATGCCTGAGAGGTATAGAACTTAAATTAAGGCTAAGGCTCAGTATACTATAGTATTGCCTTTTTAAAGAACTTTAACTTTAAGTTTGGAGTTATAATAAAAATCCTTTTCTGTTCGTTGTCAGACCTTTCTCCAAGTGTAAGTGGCTGGACCAATTTATAGGTCCATTGAATCTTCAGCGGATTCCCCCCGTTAATTGCGAACCGGAGTCCGCAGCCCCAAAAAAGATCTCATTACGCGACCCGGGCACGATGCCTTGGCATTCCAAGGTGTACTTTTTGGGCGTGGGCATGGGCCCTGCTAGATGGATTTTTGGGTTTTCCAGTCTGTGGGCTGTGATGGGTGTCGGGCTTAGGGCTAAGCCGCTTAACGTGCAAAATCAAAGTTGACTCACACAATGAGGCCAGGGCTCCTGGGTGCTTAACGAGATTTTGCGTCAAACAATGACAGGAGCAGCAGATGGTGGCGGCACTCGTAAAAAGGTTGCAGGATAACATGTGCAAGACTCGTACTCCTGGGCCATGGCACATGTTTCTCATTAACGCGGCTATTATGCGCTTAGCCCTGCCAATTAGAGGCGGAGCTAGGAGTTAGAAGAGCCAGGGACCCCGGGAATTAATCATGCGCCTTTGTTTGGACTTAATTAAAAAGCAGACTGACCGCCCAGCAAAGGCTGAGCCTCTCAGCGATAAAATATCACCATGAAAATGGGCTGCAATATATTTTTTTGGATTTTTATAGAGAGAGTTGAACATAAAAGCAAACTTCTAGAGACTCCAAATGAGCTTATATAATTCTGATAAATTCTAAATATTTTCCAAGGACTTTAAGCATAATTATTAGATATTTTCAACTACTCACCTATCGGCTATGATGTACTGGCCGATGCGATTAACGGCCACACCGGCGAGGCAATCAAATTCACCCTCGCCGTTGCCATACTCGCCAAACTCCTTGACAAATATGCCATTGGAGTCGAAGACTTGGACACGATGGTTACTGGAGTCGGCGCACACGATACTATTGTCGGGGCCAACGGCCAGGCCACGCGGCCATGTGAAGGATCCGGGCTCGCTCCCCCGGCCCCCCAACTGGAACAGTTGCTGGCGCTTGCGCAGATACACCTGTTTAGGGATAGTACCTGCCGCTCCGGCTATACCGGCTGCTGCCACTGCTGCTGCTACCGTAGGGGACGTAGGGGAGCCTAGCCCGTTTTTTGACCCGTCATCGTCGGAGGAGGCCAGCTCGTTGGCCTGCCTTAATGGCAGGCCCAGGCTCAGCCGGCGAGACACTTCGCTGGCCGTGCTACGTCCGGTTCCGGAGCCACTCGAGCCACTTCCCGTCCCGTAGCCGTGCGACGCATGCGACGACGCTCCTGTCGAAGTGGAGCTTCCGCTTCCGGTGTGCGTGTCGCGTGCGCTGCCGCTGCTACTGCCGGCCGAGTCCTTGCTGCTCTTGTTGCCGTACTTGTTCTTCAAGTACCGCGCCCAGGAGCTCAAGGCCTCGCCATCCTTGCTATCGTTGGCCGAGCTGCTGCCCAAGCCGCTGGACCGCGACGATCCAGCCCCACGATCGGTGATGGGGGAATTATCGCGCGACTTGAGGGCGTGCGAGGAGCGACTGCGGGCCAGGTCACTGCTGCCATAGCCGCTGTACCTGCAAGGATATCCAAGGGTAATTAGCAAATGGCTTAGGGACTGGGCAGGAGGAATGGAAATGGTCTGAAGGCGAAGTCGAAATTAAATGCTTTCTGGCTGATTTTGAACTTGATGAGGCGCTTTAAGCTGAGAAAAAGGAAGCTTAATGAAGGTAAATCTAGAAATTTATTTAATAAACTAATTTAAAATTATAGAAAATATATTTTGAATTACAATTTAATGTATTTTTTGAAATATTTGATTTATAGAAAACTTTTCTAGAGAAACTAGTTTTGTTTTTAGTGATTTATATTAAAAAAACCAAACTAACTTTAATTAGTTAAGCAAATTTAACTAAAATATTATTTTTATTTAAAGAAAAGTACCAAATTAAGTCATTTTAATTTTAAATAAAATTTGTTGAAGCATTTTGGGGACTTCAAGACTTTTTTTTAAATATAAAATATAATTTCAAGAAAAGCCTGAACCTCTTTTTCTATTTGTTTCTATTTATTATGTTAAATAAATAATAATAATAATTATTTATAATAAAATTACTTTTAAAAGCCTTAATTTTCTCAGCTCTTTTTCTGAACTAAATGAAACTAATGCGTGATAACTAGTGCTGCTTATGTACAGAGAGAGAAAGAGGGAAAACTTCTTGGTTGATTTCCAGTTAATTTCGGTTAATTTAAAAACGCGTTTTGTTTTTTTGTTCTATTTTAAACACAAGTAAATGACTAAAAAAAATAAAAAACTAAAAAAATAGTACAAAAATAAAAAGGAAACGTAAAAGTAAAAATCCAAAAAAGTTGAAATTAGTGTAGAGTGCAACATAAACGAGAACGAAAACGTGGCGAACTTCGAGGGACGTGTGGCACGCACAGAAACTCAACTCAAAAAAAATGTAACCTTAAAAAATAAACAAATTAAAATAAATAAATGTAAAAATAAATTATTTTAGAGATACGAATAACCGGGGATTTTGGGACAGCACACGCACAATTAAAGCGCCCAGCGCACGCACGATATTTAAATAAATATTCGCTCATCATTATATAGATCGTATATATACAGCCGATAGTTATTAACCTATGTACAAGTCGGAAGGGGGGCGGGATAGGTATTCTTTTATATATAATTTATATAAGTAGCTGTGAAAAATCAGTTCTCAGGGTCTCACTGCACACCTTGAGGCCAGGTAAGCGGACGGCGAGACCGTGGTGGGGGACACCGGCTCATCCAGATCGTCGTCCTCGTTGCCGAATTGGTGCGAGGACCGGCTGCGCGCCAGCCTCGTCCTGCGCTCCTTCATGGCCAAATAACGCGATCGGCCGGTGCCATAGCGACTGTCCGAATCGTCGCCAGTTCCGGTGGCATCCTCATCGAAGGAGGCGGTGGGCGTGGATAGCGAGGGTTGCGTTACAATGGCGCTGCTCTTGCTCTTGTTTAGAAAGCGGCTTGTGTAGCTGCAAAAATGTTGATTTCGGTACGGTTTCTGTTTGGTTTTTGGTTTGGTTTTGATTTTGGTTTTTTGGATTTGGTTTCGTTGGGGATTTTCTTTCAGTGTTTGGTATATATAATATTTATTTGTAAAGGTTTAAATAGTTAAAGATATGGTGTGGAATTTTTATACCCTTGCAGAGCTTAGTAGGTTTAAAATCGACATATCGATAAATTATGCATAATCAGAGTGAAGTTATATTTTTGTGAGAAAAATAGACATAATGATAGATAAATCGGACTCTTACTGAGAAAATTTATAGCTTAGGAAGGCAGAAAACATTGCTATATTGATACTCTTTTATTATTTAACAGAAAAGTGGATATTTATATATCGATATGTTAACATTGCAAGCTATAAATCGATATTACATTTGGGAAAGGGAAAAATTAATTAAGCACAATTTTTGTCAGTTTCAATAATATCGATATTTATATATTAGATTTTATATATTTTTCGATATCAAATTAAGCGATATTTTCGATATTATATCGCATTTAAATCAAATATATTATTTATTAACCGCAAGGATATATAGACTTCGACTTCCCGAAGCTAATTATCTCTCCTGTTTTATTTGTAATATATTTTGTGTAATATTATTTCCTTTTGTTTTTAGCTTTTGTTGTAGCTGTTGCTCAGGGTGTGTGTTTATGTGTGTCATTTTTCATTTTTAAATTTAAACTAATCCCCCATGGACGACCACCGCTTAATTAACTAACTTTTAAACAGCTTAAAAAGCATCTGTAGCTGTAATATATAGAGCAGTGTGTGTATGTCTCATTTATTAGCCATTAAATTCTATTAAAAAAACGAAGGAAAAACACCAAACAGCCTCCAGAACTCGGGGGCAGCAAAGTTTCTAATTAAATTCACATTTCGCATTATCGAAAAGTTAAACAAAGTAGTTGGGAAAAGTTTCCGGTTAAGTACGTGAAATTATGGCGCCGATTGGCGTCCGTGTCGGTGTCGGTGTCTTAGTGGGTGTGTGTGTGTGGTGGTGGGTGGTTCTTAGGGGGTGGCGGATTAAGACGGAAACACGAAAAGCAACAACTACTACAAAAATGTAACGGGGAGAGAGAACATAAATTAAAGGCTTAAATCTAGGTGAGTGTGCAACTGCACAAACGTAGTGCAAAAAAAAAGGGGCAAAAAAAAAGGAAAAATAGCAACAGGCAGCCCACAAAAGCAGGCAACACTTTTTTCTGCTTCAAAAAAATATATACAAAAACAGAAAAGCAAAATACATACATAACATGGCAGCAGCAGTGTGAATATCTGTTTGTACTGCTTAATTGCCAACGATAAAAAGCAGCTTAAATAAGTGGAAGTGATATGGTCGCATAGCAACGACCATCCAATACCTGACATACAGGGCTTTAACCTCTGATTCTTGGAGGTATTTTTGCGGTTTATAAAGTTTGAACACATTAGGGCGATAAACAGTTAAGTCTCTCTGATAAATAGGTAATTTCCCAACTGTAATTTAATATATATATATTTTAAATATATAATATACAAATTGTGCCTGAGGAGATGAAACACAAAAGTTAAGTTTTTAAGCTCTTTTTCTAACAAAGATTTTCCTTTAAAATCTAGTAAAAAGCTAAATATTAACAGAACACACGTAGATTATAGGAAAGCCCCAACAATCCTTTAAAAGTTTAAAATCTCTTGTTTATGTGGTTTAAAGCAGCTTTAAAAAGTTTAAATAGCCTAAGAAGAATTATAAGAAAACTCAGACTTTAAGATAAGCCTGAAAATTTATTTAAAATTTTAAACTTTCTTTGAAAAGTTACTTTAATATATATTTTTTATGAGTCCAAAAAATTATAAGAATTATAAAAACACACGGAAAACCTCAAGAAACTGTTAACATTTTTAAAAGTGGGCTTCATAAACTTTTAAAAATTTTATAGCTTGCTTTTAAACCCAAATTACAGTGATTTCAAACCCCTATGAACTTTTCCTAAAACTTTATTTTATTATTAAAGCAATTACAAAATATATTATTACCTTTAATGTTCATAAACCTCTTAACCCTAACTCCAAAAAATGTCCCCCATTAAACCCAACAATTGACTGCAGATGTAAAGCATAAATCCAGCTACAGTTTTACACTAAACAAATACCTTGAATAAATACGAGCAAATGATAAACAGACCGACTGACGACGACGACTCGTGAAAATTATATGAAGGCAAACAGAACGGACTGATAACAGATACCAATTTATCGCATTGTTCCCTCCCAAAAAAGGAGGCCGAGGTGTGAGTGCTAAATTCGGGGGAGTGTTGTAATTACATTACGCTAGATTTGGTTGAGGGGAGAAAAAAGGGTTCTTGTTCTGGTTCTGGTTGGGCCTCTCGCTGTTTGCTGTGTGTGTATGCCGTGCAAAAGTAAAATTAAAGAAGTTTTTGTCGCCAGAGCACAAAGGAGCTGGACGGGCCTCGAATTGATCCCTTTGAAAAGGGTATTGACAGAGCACAGAGCGAAAGACAGACAGACAGACGGACCGAGAAGTAAAGTTAATTTCCAGCCCTTTGAGTGGCTCTTTGAAAGGGCCCCCATCATCATCATCATCGCGATTCTATTTATTTGCCCATTGAAGGTGACTCCCAAGTACTTGGCCAACTTGTTCAATTTTATTTTCAGCGAACATTCAAATATTTAATCAATAGTCTAGGGTTAAGCTCTCGTTTAACATGAGTTGGGTTATTTAGTGGGTTTTTTTTTTCAAAGGGGTTTTCAGTTTCAGAACTCATTCAACATTATGGGTTAACAAAAAGAGTAAAAAAAAAAACAATTGAACTACGCGTATGAATCGGTTTTTGCTTTTCTTTCTGGCCTGAGTTTATGGCATATATAGTGAGGGTTTATATAGTATTTTTCTTGGGCTAGACGTCGGCAAGTCGCTTGCGGTACCGAGCCCGGCTGGGTCTGCTTATGTACGGTATGCTAAAGGGCAGTGCACTGCAAGAAATCATTGTATAGAAGAGAACACAAAGAGAGTAATGATAGAACTGTGTGTATTGTGTGTGTTTACCTATTCGGTGATGTGTGTCTTGCGTGTGTGTGTGTTTTTGTTGTGCTATGTAAAGGTTATGAACTTGACAATTAGACGCCACACAAGGCGTATGAGCAACAAAGTGGCCAATGCCAGGTTAAAGCCAACACGGAGCACTTGTACAAAGCTGCAGCAGCAATCAACGAGATACAGGTGGGAAATACAAGAGAGAGAGAGAGAGTCGTAGAAAGCAAATCATTATAACGCATCGAATCGGAGCGAATCGAAACCAAAACCAAACCAAAAACACAATTATCCATTAGGCATATCGATTTTAAAGCCACTCTCTGCAGTTGTGTGTGCAAATATGTGTCTGTGTGTGTGTTGTGTGTGTGTGTTTACCTAATTAAAGTTGTAAATTAATTGCAGGCTCTCTGTACGTTTTTTTTTACAGGTAATTCAATTAGTTTGTGTGTGTGTGGCATAAAACGAGGAAAACAAATTACCGAACAGCAATATTTGACACACAATTTATAGTATATGCCATGCTCATCAGATATGTATCGGTATTCTATATCTGTATAGTTGCACTCAGTGAGCGAGAGAGCACTGGCTACTAAGGCTAATACAAAGAGAAAAAAGTGGGGTACAGCCTAGGAAATATTTATAGATTAAGGAAGAATAATGAAATATTTCAAAATTAAACTCATAAATAATTATTGCTTACTTGAAAAACTTTGGAAAAATATTTAAAAAATATATATATGTTGTATAAACTCAAAGGATTTAAAATATATTTTTTAAGGCACCTGAAAGTATGCTTTATTTTAATTTAAAGTCCTTAGGCTTGGAAATTAATCTTTTTCTGTGAGGTCCTTGTTTACCTTAGAGTTTTTTCTATTATTGAGCTTTGTTTAAGATGTTTTCTTACTTTAAAATTTAGTCAAAATATAATTAAAATATATATTTTAATGAAAACTTTTATTTTAAAGGTTAATAAACTAAAATTATTTAGTTTAACCTTCTTTTTAAACAGTTTCTTAGCTTCTAAAATACTATTTTTCAAATTTTTAAATTACATACAATTATTTTTCAAACAAAATTGTAATTGAAACGTTTTAAAATTTAATTAACTCCTCTTAGTAAACCTTTTTTCTCTGTGCAGATTACCTTGTGTGGTTTTTATTTTTTATATGTTCAATTTTTTTTTGGCGAACTATCTGATCCTTTCGCCTAATTAGCCATGCAAATTAGTTCGGTTATAGAAACTACAAAAAAGTCACAAATTAAAAAACGCTCAACTATTTTCCGGGGGCGCTTAGACAGAGAGAGAGTGTGGAAAATGTTTGGAAATACCTGCTGCCAGTGCCGCTGCCATAGCGATCCTCGCTCTCGCTGGCATGGTGGGGAGCTGGCACCGCCCGGGATCGGGCACTGCTGGTGGTTCCGCTTCCATAGCCGCTGCTCGAGGGCGTGGCATAGCTGCTCCTTCCCGCTGCCGTCGAGGAGCTGTCGTCACGTGAGGCCCTTCTGGCCTCTAAACGATCCCTGTAGGAACTGCCCGTAGAGGCAGCCGTTGTTGTGGAACTGGCGGCACTACTGGGTGTCGACTTGGTGTTCGTTGAACTGCTGGCCGCGCTCGCCTTGGGCTTGGTTTCCGGCTCCGATTCGGACTCGGACTCCGAGCTAGTCTCCTCCTCGCTGCTGGAACTGGACTCGGCCTTCTTCTTATCCGCCGAACCATTTGAGGAGCTAGTGTTGTTGTGCTGCGGCAGGAAGCGGCTCACGAAGGGCTTCTTCTCGGGCACAGCCGTGGCATCACGTGCCGTAGAGTTCCTCGAGGAACTGGCCGTCTTGCTGCCAGAGGCTGCTGCAGTTGTGGCTGCTGCTGCACTTGCTGCTGCGGCAGTGGCTGCTGCCGAACTGGCCGAGCTCTCGGTGGAGGCACTGCTGTCACTGCTGCCGGAGCGCTGGGTCTTCTTCACGGCCGCCACCTGAGCGGAGACGGGCGGCTTCTGGGACTGTTGGGTTGGAGGAGCAGTGAGGAGAGTTGCATCAGAGTCTGTGGCGCTGGCTAGGGGCTAAGGGCTTGAGTTAGTTGATTGTTTTTCGAGCGAGTAACGAGCGAACAAACGGAATGCAATGCAGATGCAGGTGCAAAGTATATGGGTAAAAATATGGAAAAAACGAGATATTGGGACAGAAAGACAGAGAAATAGGGTTGCGAGCTGATGTTTGGCGAATTGGGAAGATGTAAAAAAGGGTAACGAAGCTTACATTTCGGTTAGAGTAGGGAGTTGGATATTCAAAAGGTGTCTATGAAAAAAAGTCTCCTGATCACTTAAAAGCAAGGATAAGCTATTTAAGTTAAAAACGTTTGAAACCTTTAGATATTTCTTTAAATGGTTCAAACCCACTTTCTCTAATTTTAATATTACAATCGAAATTCTTTCTCTTAAAGGTCGAATATTATATGATTTAAATACCTTCTCCAAGTATAAAGTTCCTTTTCAGTTCCCTAAATACTTTCTTTCCTTAATAAACCTCTTTCACTTTATTTCCTCCAAGGGAAAATCAAAATAAAGGTCATGGAAATGGCAAATATCTGTCCCAGCAGACCCTCTTTACTCCTCGAATGATATTCCGTAAACTCTCTTTGATGTCCCTATGCCCTAATTGATCGAACAACCTTTTCCTATTCCCATTTGGGCAAATGCCAGAGACAAGACAAATATGCAGCCGCTGTGCATATGTCACTATAGGGTGCCATGGTGCTATATGGCATACATATTCCATATATATTCCGCTGCTGGAAACATTGTTAAACTGACGGAAGCAGCCGCATCGCTGACAGTGGCATGATGGTGAAATATTCGCCATTGAACCCGGCTCTGTCTGACATTTTTGGGGGCGTTGGAGGTGGGTGGGTGTGCGAGTGTGTGGGGAGGCGTGGCAACAATGTGTGAATGCATGACAGGCAAAAAAAAATAACAAAAAAGGGAAGGAAAGAAAAGAAATACATATACAACAGAAATATTTACAGCGGACATCAGAAATTGCAAAACAACAAAACGGCAGGCTAAAAAGAATTCGAAATGAAGACAAAGAGAGACAGCAGGAGTGAGACAGAAATAAAGACAGAGAAAGAGAGAGAGAGAGAAATGTCGCCTTTGTTGATCAGGGTCTGAGGTTTATTCAGCTCGACAGCATTGACCAAAGAAATTTAGTAAGATTTAAGCAAATTAACATCACTACCGCATCGTTTGTCCACTTTTTAACAGAGAGATATAGGCAGAGATAGAGATAGATATGGATAGAGAAAGACAGAAAGACAGAAAGAGAGAGAGAAAGGGAGAAACAAGAAGAATTGTAAGAAAAATGCTTGAAATTTTGTGTAATTTCTATGCTGTTTTATTTGCTTTAACTTTCTTGTATGTGTTTGTGTTTCTCTAACTAACGTTAAGGTAAAAGATGTTAAACTACGTAAATAAAAAAAAATATATATATATTTAGGTAAGTTTGTGTATATAAAATATTGTACAATTCTGATTTCTGATGTCCGTTTTATTTGGCTTTGAGCCCTTCGACCTCTTGCCCTGCATTCAGATTATTTAGTCAAGGGCAAAAGGTTTTGGACCCAAAGCAGCATTAGGTGAAAGGCGCTCTCACAAAAGACAATAAAGAGAAACATAAGACATGAACAAAAAAAAATATAAATAAATAAATAAGAGGACATGAACTTAACAAGTAGACAATAAAATAACAAAACGTAAAGAAAAATATAAATAAACACAAAAAACGAAATGGGACTTTGTTTGGGGCAGGAAATGTTCTTTTTGGTTAGGTTTCAGATTAACAGTAAAAAGGTAACAGTAAACGGTAAACAGTTAACAAGTATCGATAATCTCTCGTATTGGCTCGAAACACAACACTTACGGAGCGGAGGGGAAGTGTGAACGATGGAGCACAAATAAAGAACGAAGCACACATGGCGTATACGTAATTTTTGTTGTTTTCAATTTATTTTATTCGGCGGGATTTTGTTTGCAACAAGAACAAAGGGTAAAATACTGAGCCAGGCTACAGTGACAGCGGTTGATATTACCTATATTCTATATAGTTTCATTCTTTACTTTACTTACTTGGTCACACTGATCGATCAGTTGTTTTCTCTAGAGTCTAGACAGAAGCGGAGAAATCAAAAGGATACCAATGTTTTTATCTCGTATAGGTTCTCTTCTCTTGATTCTCTTGTAAAATTCTAGCAAGTCCATTTATCTCTTTGGAAAGATAGCAGCTATTTGATCAGTGTGACCAGCTCTCGTTTAAGTAATTTAGCCCGTTGCATTCTAGTTAAGCGCTACTGCCTTGTCAAATTTTTAAGAATTTTTTTCTTTAATATCCAGGAACTGCTTGTTTGTTTATTACTCTTTTCTAGATATTAAGTTAATATTTTTTTAATATTTCAGCAGAGAAATCCTTTTCTTTCCTTAACTTCCTCTAACTCTGTACTTTTGTTTTCCTTTCTAAACGTTTTCTAAACTGTAGTACTCTTAATCTTCTTCCTCCTCGTCATCATCAGTGACCTCAATCTCCTCTTCTGTATACTCATACTCATCATCATCATCTTCTTCAGCTTCTGCTGATTTCTGTGTTTCTACCTCAGGTAACTGATCACTCATTATAACTTCTTCAGGATTATCCTCAATTTTTTGGGTTAACTCACTATCCGGAGGAAGGACATTTATAAGAGGTAAAGCTTCTGGTTGATCTGCAGATTCTACATTCTCCTCCTCTTCGCTTTCAGTGGCTGTTACTTCTTCATACTCCGAGGAAGACTCTTCTTCCTCGGTTTGTTCAGAGGATGTGGGTTCTGCAGGCACTTCTGGGGGGCTAAGACCTTGGGCCAACTCTGGCAGGACCTCAGGAGACTCTTCTACTTCATCATCTTCCTCCTCAGTCTCATCATCCTCCTCCTCTTCCTCGCTGTCACTGCTGTCACTGGCCACGCCTTCTTCTTCTGTATTTGCCTCATTCACACTTACCTCAGCTCGCGTTGCCGCTGCCGCCGAATTACGCACTGGAGACGCCGCCTGAGTGGAGCTTCCATCGCTGTCCTCGCCGCCGCGGCTCTTCAGGGACGCTACCCGCTGATCGCTGGCTGTGTCCGTCGCTCCCGACGATGACGATGAAGTGGCAGCTCCTGTCGCTGCTGCCGAAGCTGCAGCAGCGGCATTCTTTCGCTTCTTGGCCAGCTCGGCCTCCTCGTCGGCTGCCGCCTGTTGGTTCTTCTGCTGCTGCCGCTGCATGGCCGCTTTTTGGGCCTGAATGGCCGCCTGGACTGCCGCCTGAGCAGCAGCGGCGGCATCGGATTTCTTCTCCTTCTTCTCCTTGCCAATATCCGCCAACCGCTGGACCACTCGCGAGCAGTCACTCAGCCGAATGATGCCACTAAGCTGGCCGCGTGACACATCCTCGCTGTCCAGCACACGATCCTTGCGCTCCTTGAGCTCCTGCTGGCGCTGTTGCTGCTGCAGCTGCTCGTTGTCAGAGTCATCGTTTTGATGGGATCTCACAAACCTCGAACGGAAGCGGGAGGACTTTCCGGCCCTACCCGAGCTACCCTCGTTCTCGTAGTCGTTCTCATAGTCATAATCCCCGCCAGATCTGCCATAGCGATCGTTGTTGGCCTGGGTGGCACTGCGCTGTGGGCGTTCGCCGAACTTGCGACCGCCCAGGACGGGCTCATCGTTGTATCCACCTCGCTCCTCCTGCTGCCTGAACTGGGTGGCCAGACGGTGATCACTCTTGGAGCGCATCAAACCCGGCTGCAGGGCACTGGGCGGTGCCAGGTGGGAACTGCTCACCGAACTGCCGCCGCTGGGCGTCGAGTGTGGGGCTATGTTCAAGTCACCAAAGGTGGCCAGGTTCATCACCAGCTGATTGGGATCAATGGAGACCAGGAACCGGACGCGGCGACTGTAGTCGTTGTTCTCATACTCAAAGTGTCGCAGGAACTCCACCGTCTTCAGGAAGATCTCCTTGGTGTCCATCAGCTCGCAATCGTCCCACTCCACGGTCTCGTTCATGTACTTGTCCACGATATCGCAGTTGCTGGTGATATTGGTGATTTCCAGATCGAGGTTCTCCTTGAGAGTGGTGAGATTTCGCAACTCCACGGCCAGGTAGCGATCGATCTCGCCTTTTAGCTGATCGGAACGATCCTTGATGGCCTTGGTGATGCGGCGGTAGATTTCATCGATCTCCTCAGTGACACTAATGGCATTCGTTTGCAAACTCATCGTGTTCTTTTCGATGATGGCCAGGGAGTCCTGCAAGCGGTGCAAACTGCGACGGATCTGGGGGGGGAGGATATATATAATTTAATAAAAGTATTTTTTGAATAAGAAAGCTCCTCTCCTCACCTGTGAATTAAATCGTGTGATCTCCCGCCGCAGTATGTCCATGTGGGCACTCTTGCAGTCCTCGCAGATCTTCTTCTCGCAGTGGGCACAGTGGGACAGATAGGCCTTTTCCGAGCAAACACCACAACGTTCCATAATTTGACCTGTAAGGATAAAGGAAAAGTAAAGGAAAACAATTACTAATCACTACTGGCAGCCAAAAAAAAGACACATTCCCAAATGACTTCCTGCTTGAGTTGAACAATAAAATGCCAAGTATGCCGACAGCAGCAGCTCATCAATTTGCACTCTTGGCAACAATGTCCTGCCACATGCCAGGGATGCCAGGGATGCCAAGGATGCGGATAAGGATGTGGCTGAGACATAGACCGAGACTGAGACTTCGGCTGAGTATGTCTGTTGCATTCACTAATGCGATTTCAAGAGCACGAAATCAACTGCACCTAAGCGCCAGTTATGCAGCTCTATGCCAATGCACTGAGGGAAATTCATGTGAGTCTTAAATTGCTCAGAAAAGATATATAAAATATACTATGTTTCCAAGAAGAAATTTTTGAGAATTTAATAAAGTCCCTAGAGATTTTATAAATATTTTTAAAACCTAGAAAATCAAGTAATTCCTTTTCATAAAATTTAATTAAATTTCTGTTACTTTTCTAATATCTCCTATTCATTTTTCTCTCTTTCTATACCCACTATAATCCTAACGTTATCCTGCGAACTAAATTTACGACCAACAACAACGTTTAGTTATCCGATTTCAAGCCATAAACTCTTGATTTTATAGAGATTTGTGATTTTTACTGTGTGCACCTCCCCCCGTATTATGTGTGTCACATCCTTTTGGCAAAAGGGATCCTTTGCATCCTTGTCGACGAGGCAGGATGTAAGTGTAAGTGTAAGTGTGTCTGTGTGTGGCAATGCAAATAACGAGCCTCAGCGCAATGGGGCAACAATGCAAACATGCCAAAGATGTCGTCGTTCCTGCTGGAAAAGTAAACTTTTCTGCATCAATTGCTGGCATTGGCAATGCCTGATGAACACTCCTCAGTAGCATTTTCCCCAGACACTCTCTCTAGCCCCTATAGAGGGAGAGAGGGAGGTAGACATAAGTGTGGAGCGTAAGGATGCCATGCCAATAGTTGGCTTCTCTGTATTTTCTCGTGTAATCATATGGAAAAGTGAATTTGCAAATTCCACATGAAAGTTGTACGAGTGCTCGTTGTCCTGGCTATATCCATAACACGAAAAGGATTCCTTTGTTTCACACATTTGCATAGCCAAGAATGAAATTTGTATAGCAAAAAAAAAGGATACAAATGTAATGGCTATGTGCACGGGAAATAAATTTGTCTAGGTTCGATGGGGAGTTATCTAGAAATTTTTAATATTTCAACTACTTTTTAGAAATTTTAAAATATTTTTAGAAACTCTATTACCTTTAAAAATTATATATATATTATATAGGATTAAAATGAAATATACTTTTTAAAAACCCTTCAATAAATAAATTTCTAAAATACATAAAATCCTCCACAAACCTCTATTTTCTCTCTGTGTGTTAGTTAAAGCCAAGAGCTTTGTCTGCCTTATTAACTCACACTCGGAAACTGATTGCAGCTCAAAAGTTGCAAGCCATTTGCATATTTTCACCCCAAAAATAATTGCGTAGTCATGCTGAGTAGGTTGATCCGGATTATCGGTGGGATGAGAAGAGGGTCGCTGGGATGAGGACCAAATGCAAATTGCTCAAACGAAATCAATTTCGCTTTGCTTAGTTTTAATTGCTATCAGATGGTATCCGGACTTTTTAATTGGAAAGCCAAACATAATGGCCTAAAAAGCTAGTTTTTGCTGCCGTTTTGCCATATTGCTTTTTGGTTTCTTTTTTTTTTTTTTTAATCCTAACATTCCAAACATTTTCCGCTTTGGCCCGGTTTTTAGTGGAATTTAATTAAAGTTACAACCATGATTACAGGGCAATAATTTTATTAATAAAATGGAAATTTTGTGAGCTTTGTATTTAAAAAGTGAAACTATCTATGATTACATTTCCCCAGCAATTTTAATTGGAATTTATTTATTTATTATTAGTGGTAATAAATCCTTACCTGACGTGGGATCGGGCAGTTCTCCGGTGATTTCGATATGCAATTCCAGAAAACGTTGCAGGGTGACATTCGTGGGAAAGGCCTGGACGCCATTGTAGGGTATCCTGTGCTCGGCCCGGCACTCGGGGCATTTTACCTAAATTATTTGCAAAAATATTTGCATTAGTCTAGGGCAAATAATTTGATTGAATTAATCATGAAATGCAAGTAAAGTTTCTTTGTTTTTCGCCCCCTTTTTAACCGCTTGAGGCTGATATGGGATTAGTAATTGAAACTTGATTCGACAACTTAATAGCAATTTCATTTGATTATTATGTAAGGATGTGTCTTAGGCCGGGGTAAACCTCAGCGGCCCAGGATTCCTCTCCAGAAATATTTATATTTTAGAGACGGCCAGGACATGGACGCCGAATTTTTATTGAATTTTCTAGGGGCAAAATGGCAGCGAAAAGGGGCTCGTTTTCAAAAGGGGAACTCTGGCTTCGGGAAAATGGGAATCTTGGACGGTCACCCTGGCGATGGCCAGGTGCTCCTCCGTTTTCCTGCGCCCGTTCGGTTGCCCAGCAGCGGCGACTCTTTCGATCGGCAAAATCTCCGCCGCCCGGGATGACCCAGCGGCGAGGGCGGGCAAAAATGCAGATCGAAAGGGAAAGGGAGAGGGGGAAGGGGAAACCTACAAAACGCGCGATCACCCTGGCGATGGCCAGGTGCTCCTCCGTTTCCGGCGCCTGCCCGGTTGCCCAGCAGCGGCGACTCTTCCGATCGGCAAAATCTCCGCCGCCCGGGATAACCCAGCGGCTATGGCGGGCAAAATGCAGATCGGAAGGGGAAAGGAGAGGGAAGAGGGGGAAATCTGTGAACACGTGCCGGCGGCGATGAACTCGTAGCTCGGGAAAAGCCCAGCAGCCCCGATGCCCTACGCCAGATCTGTGCCCGGGAGAACCCAGCGGCGACAAATCCCGCTCCCGTCCCGCTGCTCTGGCCCGGAGCTTGCCCAGCGACCACGCGGAGTTGGTGCGTGAGAACCCAACCACCAGCTCGGCGAGTGAGTGAGCGGGAGGGGAACCCTTTGGCGCGCGTCACGATAAGAAATTAATTTTAACAACGCGGAGTTTTAAGTGGGTGCGAGGGAGAAAGACGATGAAATTTCTGAATTCATTTTCTGTGCTTTATTACATTAATTAATTATTGTCTACATTTTCCTAAACTATGACTGCCGTCCCTAACCTGGCCCTACGCCACACTCCAGTAAACGCTACTCTGACATGGCTCGCAGCCGGCTCACCCGCTGTTATCGGTGGACTGGGACACGTGTCCTGCAGCCAGGATATGCAAGGGCACTCGCGTGTCCTTTTTGGGACTTAGTCGTTTGGGAACTTTCCCACGTGTCCTTTGAGGACTTGCCGCCCGCGGCGGGAGAGATGTGTAACGATCGCGTTCGAAGCTGCCAGAGAAGAGATCGCGGTCGCAGCTTGCAAAGCCCTTGTCACCTCGTCTCTGCCAAAAATGTCCGGGCAGCGCAGCTTTCGGCCGTCGGCTTTGTTATTGTTATTGTTTATATTTTGATCGGCATGTAAATAAGCACGACCAAAACGTAAACACGCACGATCGTCGGAGGGAAATGTCGCTGCCTCTGCCGCTGTTCGCGTCGGCAGCGGAGAGGGGAAATGTCTTGAGCGCGGTCGCTACAGTCCGTGTTGAAAAAAATGTATACGCCTGTGCGTTGTGGCCTTAATCTAAATCTAATTGGGCCCTTCCTGGGTAAATTAACTCTGGGCTTCATGCCCGCTTAAATGTACAGTTGTGTGTGTGGGTGTGTGGCTAATCCTAACTTATTTCCCTATACTAATTACTAACTTAACTATAAACTTAACTAATATGTACATAATTTACAAAAATAGGGGATTGTGACATCGTCACACTCCACCCTATCTTCGGGAGGGGTGGAGAGTGATGATCACCTTCCCGCTGCGGTTAATCTGGACGCGGAAGCGTTGATTCGCCTCCTCCTCCAGAATCCGGATTGTCCGTCGTCTTGGCGTCGCCAGGCGCCCGTGAATCCGGCGGAGCAAGGCGGCTGGCAATGTGCCGTTGGGCGTGGTCCACTCCACTGGGGCCGGTACCCAGCGGGGAGGGTTGAGGACTTCTTCGCTGGCGTCCAACGACGATTCGTCGGATGAGCTTGGCGGGCTGTCTGCCCATGGTGCGCTCCGGTGCGTGGACTCCGGATGGAGCCTCGCGTCGTTGGGGCGGCGTGAGGTTGACCCGCAGGGGTCCGAAGCGGTGGTCAGGTGGCACCTCCTCCTCATCATTGCCGTTAGGAGGGGCAACTTCCGGAGGGGTGCCTGCGGCCCAATGTGGCCGGTGCGCAGGGGTGCCTGGAGCGGCATGGTGTCGTCCGGGTGGACCTCCTCCTCGTCATCGCCACGGTGGTGGGCGACTTCCAGAGGGGGTTGTTGTGACCCAATGGGGCCGATGTGCCTGGACACTAGGGGCGGCATTCCCCTTGCGGATGATGGCCGTAGTCTAGCGTGTTCATCCGGATTCACTCCCTCCTCCTCATCGCCACGGTGGTGGGCGACTTCCAGAGGGAGCAGTGATGGCCCGATGGGGCTGGTGTGCTGGGACGCCAATGGTGGCATCCCCTCGGTAGAGGGCCGACGGGGCCCGGCGTGGTTGCCGGTGTTCGCCTCCTCCACGTTGTCGTCGTCGATGGTGGTGCCCTCGATGGGTAGAGCCCGTGGCCGGAAGGGGTCGGCGAGGCTGTCGCTGGGAAGCGGCTGGCTTGGCCGGCGCCGTGGAGCGCCTGTAGGAGCTCGTCGCCCGCACCGTACATCCATGCGGTGTCCTGTGGCGCCGGGGCGGGAGTCGGCGGATGGCCTTGTCCGTCCATCGTCTGGTTGGCCTCGGTGGGGGCGGAATCTGTGCAGCGCGTGGCTCGTCGTGCCTTGTGGTAGGCGGGCTGAAGGCGGTTGTCGCTGTTTGAGGGGTCGATCGGTGCGCATGAAGCTGCGATGCTCTGCGATGTGTGATACCCCTGAGAGAGTATCAAATTTGGCCAGTTCCTGGTCCAGGAACTCCTTCACCCAAGGCTCGGGGTAATCCGGCGTCTCGGATTCCTCTATCTGGAATGAGACTTGATCCTCTGTGGGATGACTCACCGAATTGACGGTTCCGCATAGGGGCGGGCTTGGCTCCGGCGTTTCCTCGACGTGATCCTGGAAGCGGACACGTCTTGTGGAGGTACGGAAGGGATTCCGTTGCGCGGCTGTGGCATCTGCCACGGGCAAAGCCTGTCTCCAACAGGGCGGCTGGTTCTCCGTCGCTGGTGAGGCTGTCTCGAAACTGTGCTCGAGGTGAGGTACTTGGCTGGTCTTCGAGTTCGGAGCGTGGCTCCCTTGGCTGCCCTCGATGGGTAGAGCGTGGCTCTCCTTGGGCTGTCGTCTGTGGCTTCTCGGCGTGGGTGGAATGTGACTCCGTTGTCGTCCTTCGCTGATCAGAGTGTGACTCTGCGTGGTGTGCCGTTGATGGCTCTTCGTGGTTGGAGTGTGACTCCGTTGATGTACTTCGCTGTTCAGAGCGTGGCTCTGAGTGATGTGCCGGGGATGGCTCTTCGTGGTTGGAGCGTGGCTCCCTTCGCTGGTCAGAGCGTGGCTCTGCGGGCTGGTCCCGTGGGTTGGAGCGTGGCTCCCTTCACTGGTCAGAGCGTGGCTCTGTCTTTGGTCTTCGCTGGTCAGAGCGTGGCTCTGTTGTTGGTCTCCGCTGGTCAGAGCGTGGCTCTGTTGTTGGTCTTCGCTGGTCAGAGCGTGGCTCTGTTGTTGGTCTTCGCTGGTCAGAGCGTGGCTCTGTTGTTGGTCTTCGCTGGTCAGAGCGTGGCTCTCGGAGGGTCTGCCCTATATTTGTATTTATTTTATTTGATTATTTTACTTGGAATTATTTAAATTTGATTTTTTTTTTTTTTTTTTTTTTTTTTTTTTCCCCATTTTATTCATTTTATTTCGATTTATTTTAATTTTATTGATTTATCTTAATTTTTATTGATTCATTTTAATTTTTATTGTTTCCGTTTATTTATTTTATTCAAATAAAATTATTCCTGGATTTATTTTATTATTGGTTTATTATCCTGTCTGGATTTATTTAATTATTGTTATATTTGATTTTATTAAATTTTTATTATATTTTGGCTTATTTAATTTTTATTATTTCGGGTTATGATTTGGGTTATTTATTTATTTGAATCCTTATTATTATTTTATGATTTAAATTTTATTCTCGGCGGCAGGATCCCTTGAGGGTTCGCGGGTGTCCTTAACGTGGTTGAAGGATATTGAAAATCTTCCCGATGGGTGCAAGGATACGACGATGAGTGGGATGAGTTGATTTCAAAGGGTGTAAACTGTGAGCGATGTGTGTTCAACGAGGTGGTTCTGCGATGTGTATTCTATGAGCTTATCTTCCCAAGTGTCTACGAGCGATGTGTATGTAATGAGATGATCTTGCGGAGTGTCCCTCCTAGCGAGGGTCCCCTGTATATATTGCTGCCTAAGCTAGCCGACGCTGCTGCCGCGGGCAGAGCAGAACTGGAGATGTGTGTGGGCCACGTGTGTGTGTGCTTGCGCGAAGCGTCCCTCTGCCGGCGTTGACGCTGGCAGTGACGTTGCCTACGAATTCTGGCGTGACTGTACCGCTTGTTTTTGGCGACGATGCGTATGCACCGATGGAAATTTACCACGCGTTTTTTTTTCTATTCCCTTTTCTCCTGTACTTTGCTGATTTTTGCCGGCGACCGTATGTCGCGACACGTGGGACGAAAATTTCTTACACTCGCAAAACAAATGTGCGCTGATCGAGAAATATGTTTATGTAATATATTTCCTGATTAAATTTTCTATCCTCGTCCTTTAGAAAACTAAATTTCCCTGCTTTTGCCTTCGCGAAAAATTTATATTATATTTTTTTTTTTCTACTAGAAAATTCTGGTTTTCGGCCAGTGGGGCTTTAATCCACTGAAAAAATTTATCCTAGCTGTCCTGACCGGTCCCTGTTCGGGCGCCATCTGTAAGGATGTGTCTTAGGCCGGGGTAAACCTCAGCGGCCCAGGATTCCTCTCCAGAAATATTTATATTTTAGAGACGGCCAGGACATGGACGCCGAATTTTTATTGAATTTTCTAGGGGCAAAATGGCAGCGAAAAGGGGCTCGTTTTCAAAAGGGGAACTCTGGCTTCGGGAAAATGGGAATCTTGGACGGTCACCCTGGCGATGGCCAGGTGCTCCTCCGTTTTCCTGCGCCCGTTCGGTTGCCCAGCAGCGGCGACTCTTTCGATCGGCAAAATCTCCGCCGCCCGGGATGACCCAGCGGCGAGGGCGGGCAAAAATGCAGATCGAAAGGGAAAGGGAGAGGGGGAAGGGGAAACCTACAAAACGCGCGATCACCCTGGCGATGGCCAGGTGCTCCTCCGTTTCCGGCGCCTGCCCGGTTGCCCAGCAGCGGCGACTCTTCCGATCGGCAAAATCTCCGCCGCCCGGGATAACCCAGCGGCTATGGCGGGCAAAATGCAGATCGGAAGGGGAAAGGAGAGGGAAGAGGGGGAAATCTGTGAACACGTGCCGGCGGCGATGAACTCGTAGCTCGGGAAAAGCCCAGCAGCCCCGATGCCCTACGCCAGATCTGTGCCCGGGAGAACCCAGCGGCGACAAATCCCGCTCCCGTCCCGCTGCTCTGGCCCGGAGCTTGCCCAGCGACCACGCGGAGTTGGTGCGTGAGAACCCAACCACCAGCTCGGCGAGTGAGTGAGCGGGAGGGGAACCCTTTGGCGCGCGTCACGATAAGAAATTAATTTTAACAACGCGGAGTTTTAAGTGGGTGCGAGGGAGAAAGACGATGAAATTTCTGAATTCATTTTCTGTGCTTTATTACATTAATTAATTATTGTCTACATTTTCCTAAACTATGACTGCCGTCCCTAACCTGGCCCTACGCCACACTCCAGTAAACGCTACTCTGACATGGCTCGCAGCCGGCTCACCCGCTGTTATCGGTGGACTGGGACACGTGTCCTGCAGCCAGGATATGCAAGGGCACTCGCGTGTCCTTTTTGGGACTTAGTCGTTTGGGAACTTTCCCACGTGTCCTTTGAGGACTTGCCGCCCGCGGCGGGAGAGATGTGTAACGATCGCGTTCGAAGCTGCCAGAGAAGAGATCGCGGTCGCAGCTTGCAAAGCCCTTGTCACCTCGTCTCTGCCAAAAATGTCCGGGCAGCGCAGCTTTCGGCCGTCGGCTTTGTTATTGTTATTGTTTATATTTTGATCGGCATGTAAATAAGCACGACCAAAACGTAAACACGCACGATCGTCGGAGGGGAAATGTCGCTGCCTCTGCCGCTGTTCGCGTCGGCAGCGGAGAGGGGAAATGTCTTGAGCGCGGTCGCTACAGTCCGTGTTGAAAAAATGTATACGCCTGTGCGTTGTGGCCTTAATCTAAATCTAATTGGGCCCTTCCTGGGTAAATTAACTCTGGGCTTCATGCCCGCTTAAATGTACAGTTGTGTGTGTGGGTGTGTGGCTAATCCTAACTTATTTCCCTATACTAATTACTAACTTAACTATAAACTTAACTAATATGTACATAATTTACAAAAATAGGGGATTGTGACATCGTCACAATTATTTGATTTACTTTAAGCCCTTTGGCTTTGGTAATCCTTTTAAAAGTTGTTCAAGCTTCTTGTGTTCGCAACTTTAAAAACCTTTCACATTTAGTTAGTTGCATGTGAAGGCATCTTGAGTGCGTTTCTTTTCGGTTTTATTATATCCTGTCATCTTGGGTTTCCGCCACAAAGATGAATCTTTGCTGGCGGGCTTTCCTTTCAAATGACAGGTATTCGCAACTCGCTCGCTCTCTCTCTCTTTCACTTTATCTGCTTCTGTATAAATTTCCTTGGCCAACACAATGGGAAAATGCTTACCAATTATTTGCGTGGCGCTGGCTGAAAGCCAAAACAAAATTTATAAATACACGCAGACACAGGCGCTGGCTGAGACTATAAGTAGCACATACACACACAGTCACTGTGTGTTTTTTTTCTTTTTTTTTTCTTGAGAAGGGAGCCTACATATATGCACGTCTCTCTATATAATTTTTCAACAAGATATCTACGCAAATGCGCCGCAAGCCAGCAAGATAAATACAACATTTTCGGGGGCGTCTTTTTGTGTTTTCCCCCCTTCTTAGTTTCATTTCCCTGGCGAGATTTTCAGTTAAGCAAAGTTACACTGTGTGGAAAATTATGGGGGATAATCTTGGTTATCTCAATTAAATATCTTATTAAAGGTTAAAGCACTTTAAAATATTATTGGGGAGTTTTTAAAGTAAATAAAATATATTCAAAGGAAAGGGAACATACAAAAAAGTTTTTAAAAATATTTTTCTTTACATTTTAATTTTAAAATTATAGCTTACAGTATTTTAGAAAGATCAGATAAAAGAAAATTAGATAAAAGAGTCCAAACAATATGTTTTTAATATCTTACATTTCATTTTCACCTTAAAAAAACGCAATTTTCTTTGTTTATTTTTACTTTTTAATACCCATTTATACAAAATCCAAGCAAAACATTCAAAAATTGTGCTTAGAAATAGTAATCTTGGCTTTGCTAGTAATCTTCCTATAACAAAATATTTCTGTAATATTTATTTTAATAAATTTTTAACCAGTAATAAACTTTTTGTCTACTTTTGTGACGTATTTAAACCGAATTTTAATGTTTAAATAATATTGATATAATTTTATATAAAAATTCAAGATGAGTCTAAAGTACTAATTTCCCTAGTTTTTCCCAGTGTAACAACACTGCCGTGTGACGTCGTCGGGCATTAACCAAATTGCCACGAGCGCGCACACAAAGACGACCTGCATCGGCGGCGGCACAGTGGGATGATTAATGACGACAATGGGATGGCAATGGAGGGAATAAAGTTAACACAGGACTCTGACTCTGACTCTGGCACTGACACTCACCTGACGCCTAACATAGTCCACCAGTCCCTCCATGCAGGGCTCCATGCAGAAGGAGTGCTGGCATGGCAGCAGCTTGGGGATGCGATACCTGTCCAGGCAGACGCAGCACGTCAGCAGCTGCTCGAATTGCTCCATGGCTCACTGCAAGGAAAACAAAATGGGAAATAAGAAATACAATCATTAGGCCTGTGATTCGATTATACCGCAAAAGCGCTGTCAATTTGATATTCATATCATTATAAATTCAGGACCAGCCCCGCCCACAACTAAGCTCATCATAATACGACGGAGGCGGTAAGCTCTCGCGCAGCACCAAAAAAAAAAGGAAATATATATATATATAAAAGAAAAGCAAGGAAAAATCCGATTGCCATGAAATTCTTGCATTTGAATGAACACACAACAAGGCACAGAACAGAGAGCCCAAAAAGTCATACAATAAATTGACCATTTCGTTGTCGTAAGTCGCAAGTCGCAGAGTCGCACAGAGTCGCGAGCCGAGTTCATTTGGCCCGGGTAAATACACTAAGCCACAAATCTGCTTATGGCTGCTTCATTAAAAGCGGCTCTGACAAGTTTATTTAGACGAAACCAAGTTCCCCGGCTCGGCTCTCATTGGTTTTTCTCCCTGCCAAAGGCAAAGGCTTTTCTATATGGGAATTTTGAATTCAATGCCTGGCTCTAATTTCGCTTTTGGCTCATGGAACTGGAGCTCTCCTTAATTGCCACTCAATATTTGTTTATTTAATGAAGATGAGAGCCTTAGTTGACACAAATTGAGGTGAGTTATTTCTATCAAGTATTTTGTGATTCACATTGAGAAAAACTAGACACATGATTCACTTGCATTTCCTGCAGCTGTCTGAATATATTCATATTAAACATTTCACTTTGATGGTGTTTACATTATCCATGACGTTCTTTAAATATAAGGGAAAGCGTTTTATGGGTTTAATGTTTGATTATTTTAGTTATTTTTAAAGGAAAAGCAAGGAAAATAAATTAGAGAAAAAATCTACTCCTCCAAAATTGATAAGAAATGTAATATTTTAATTGTATTTCATTAAAATATCATTTTATAAGGTGCTAAAAAAATATGAAAAAAACAATTAAGCTATTTTCTTATAAGAACAAATTTAATTTAAAGGGAACAACAAATTTTAATTGATTACTTCAACTAAATTTGGCGCATAAAACCTCATAAAAATTAAAAAATTAAAATGGAGAAATTGAAATAGCAAATAAATTGCCACGATTAATAATCAATTAAACTGTAACCTTCTTATTAATTGGTTTATTTAACTTAAATTTATCAGAAACCGTTTATAAAAACCATAATAAATTAATTAAAAAAGAAAATAAAGCCTAGAGCCAGCTATATTTTATCCTAGAATCATTTTCGCCTTAAAATTCGTTAAATTAATTAATGGAAAGGATTTACCATCAAGCCAAAACAGCTGCAAATTAATATTTCTGTCACTCTGAAAAAAATCCCCTTGCATAATATCACCAAGCTATTTCACTTGCAACATATTTTAAGAAGTTGCAATAATATCTCACCACTCACTCTCGCCTGGTTGGGATATATGGAGAAAAGGGAACACATTGCTTTGGCCGCACAGTTGAGGTTTTAAGTTTTTAATAATAAAAATGACACACATTTCTCAGCTATAAGAGGGAAGCCAGCCCAGAGAGAATTTTCTGCTCGGAGAAAGACGTAGAAGTGTATATAGTATATATATAAAGACGATTTCGCAGTTGCTGGCAATATGCAGCGCATCGCGTATACGCCGCGTGTGTCGCGCACAAAATTCGAAGCAATGCGCACTTCCTGCTCGTAAATAAACACGACTATGTGGGAGGATATAGCCATGGTTCTCCATGGTTCTCCATGGTACTCCTCCATGGTTCCAACGTTCTCCATGGCTGCCACCGCTAATTGTCGTGCGCCTGTTTGCCATTATTGTCGTGTTTTTTGTACCGGGATGCTGGTCTGGTGTGGTTTTTGGTTCACTTATTTAAAGCATCAATTTAATGCGGCCAAGAGTTCACAAAAACATATGCGAATAAAGTGCAATTAACTGGAAAATGCGCTTAAAATCAAATTGAATAGAAATTTCCGTCGCTTTCGCTCAAATTGTGCGTAACGCGAGGGGGGAGAGAGTGTGTATACACTACCATGTATGAGTGTGTGTGTGCTTGTGGCGAATCTAATTTAGCCATTGCATTTGTGAATAGCTGCTGAAAGGATTAAAATGAATGGCGAAAGCTGCTGCTAGCCAGCATAATGGAAACCACCGCCAGGAAAACCCCTCCGCAAAAACCCAAAAACGTCCTTAGTTAAAATTTAGTTTAAATGGAAAGCGGCAGCAGAGGGTTTTTGGTTGAAAGAAATCCACATTCTCCTCTCTCCAAATCCCCAACCGAAAATGCCAGCATGTGTCCTTGAATGCAGTAGTAGGTGGCCAGCAGTGCCAGTAATTTGGCCAAAATACCAAACCAATTACACCAGCTGGCATTAGAAAAATAAGCTGAGTAGAGGAAAAGGTGAAAATGCTCAGGTTATAGTCAGGTTTCTAGGTGATTTCATTTTTTTATTATTTAAAATATTTTAAAATTTATTTATTATATTTTATTATTCATTTTTAAAAGGTAATTTCTTGCTGCTTAGTGTTTTCAATGAGCCCTTTCTAAATGCTTCCAAAACACTCTTCCAATTAAGCAAAATATTATGAAGGCGAAGGCTACAGTTGACTGATTTTTCCCCCCTGAATTTTCATGAATTTTCCTGTGATTTTTGCACAATTCTTTTGTTTTTATTTAAGCCGCCAAGATTGATGGCGACAGTTGTTCAATGTTTTGTTTACAGCCAAAATACTCATTAACCTTGGGGAAATGTTTAAAATTAAGTTGCGTTATGTGATCAGGAAATACAAGTAAATGGCCAACAGGAAACGGAAATGCGAAATGCACACGCACACATACAAACACACTTGACCCTGGGCAAATTGGCTGCCAAAAAAAAAAGTCGAAAAAAAAGAAAACCCAAAATGGGTCAAACTTTTCGCGCGGTTGACAGTTTGGTGACAGAAAATCATCAACGCAAAGCACTGAAAATTTAAATCAACACAAATAAATTGAAATGAATTCGATGAAATTTGGGTCAACCACAAAACAGCAAAATAAAAAAAAGTGACGAAAACTCACCAATAGAAAAATGGAAAACTGTTTTGGCAATCCTTGGGTATTGCTGTCAAAGCGGCACTCGAAGGCAATCATAAAATGCAATTGGTTTCTGGCAATGCGAGAATCCTTAAAACTTCTATCGTTTACAACTCGTTCCCGGGGGGCACTTTCATTTAATGTTATATACCATCGATTTCCGTTTTCAATAAATCTAAATCCGTACTATTTGAGTGAATTTTCTTCGGTTTATATATATATTTTTTTAGCTTTTCTTGGTATTAATTTTTCGCTGGGCACAAACGCGCCTCGTAGAATTCGATTGGAAATGTAAAAAGCGACTGAAGGCAAGTGAAAATTGCCAAGCACATGAGTCTATAATATTTTAAATATATACAATCCCCTACGTTGGCGTTCTCTCACACTCTCTCCTCTTTTTCGCTGTATCCTATGTATATATAACTTTTGAAACAAGAGAGAGAGTGCGCGAAAGGAAAACAAAATAAGCGATCGCAAATATATATTCTTGGCACAACGCACCAAAGTGTGTGTATCTTATGGCTGAATATCTTCAACTGCAGCATCAACTGCTGCATTAATGAGAGATCTAAAGATACAAAGTACCCGAAAAAAAAGGAAGAAATATTTTCACTTGCAGAATTAAAGTTCCCTGGATTTTTCCCTAATTTCTGCAAATTAACTTTACCAATTTATTCTATATATATATATAAACACGATATAGGTGTATGTGCGCCTCTTTGACGTCATCATTCTCATCACGCCGGCATTTTCCATCTATATCCCATTTGTGCTCTGTGCTATTTGTGTGCTTTTGTGTATCTCGCTGTAACGGCGCCCTAAAAATAAACTTCATTGAAAATTGGAGCGAACGGCAGAGCGCTCGGATTCGGTCCACTCCCAAACCCCCCGCGTTTCTCATACTTCTTTGGAAAAAACTAGCCAGGCATTCCGCTGTGCTAATTGAAAAGTTTTCACCTCCAAAACGGGTGTAAAAGGTCTGCACACTTCACTCACAAATATTTGGCGCTTTAAAGGTGCCAATCGGAGTTGTTAGAAAATAGGAAAAAGGGGAAAAATACCTTTAAAATATTAGTTTGTAAAATGTATTTACAATTCATAAAAGTTTTTGACTTTAGAAAATGCGTTTTATGATATTTTAAGGCAAGAATTTTCTTTTTTAAAAGATTTTTAAGGGAGTTTTAAGTGGTTTTTAAGACGATTTTCTAAAGTTTTTGGTGGAATTCTTGGTGCAACTTTTATTATTTTTCAAAACATATTTATGAGCGGTTTAAAGGGTTTGCTTTGAGGTAGTTTTTGAGGATGTATTAACATTAAATTAAATATTTAAAAAATTTGTAAATTAAGTTTATAGTCTCAACAATAAAGTACAACTAAGCCCCATTAAAAATTCCCTAAAACAATTTATTTAATAAATAAAATAAAACCAGAAACAAGATCTATTTAAAACCCATTTCTTCTTTTCAACTTCTCAAGGTCACAACTCCCTATTCCCGACTCCTTAGCATACACACAACACACTTATATACCCCATATGCATCTCCCTTATGGGAGTGAAGGTGCATTCGTTCGAAAATAGAAACTCACTAGCCCCGGAATTCACAGACTGCACTCGGACTGCCAAAGATAGAACTGCAAAAAAAAATATTCAGCGGCTATAAATAAAAGGAGCAGACACACACAGAGACACAGACAGCATCGGCAGATGCAATCGAAACTTTTCGAGAAAGCATAAAAAGAAGAGAATTTGAAATTTCAGCTGGCTAGGGGAAAACAACTTTAAACTTACAAAACGTATTGTGACGTTTCAATTTCAATGGCGGTTACTTACAGCTCAAAGTGATGCTTCTTCTGCTAACTTCCGGCTAAGGTTTTTTATTTGGGTATCCGAGGCGCCCTTGGGCGGGGCCTTTTAATTGTCTGTTAGCTTTGTTGACTGGAAAATAAGAGATAAAGGGAATATATAAGGGAAATATATACAAAATATAATATAAAATAGAATAGGAAAGAAATAGGAATATTAAGCTAAAGCCGCTGCTTTATGTCAGAACCAGTTGGGAATTATATGTACACACGTGCCAAATTTTTATCACCACAAGTATTAGGGCGAACTCGCCATACAAAACTCTCTATAGATACAATATACTACTTATTATTATCTTTAAAGTTTTCAAGGTATTGTAGTTCCACTTTAAAGCCTTAAAAAAGGGGAATCCATTTAACCAATTGGCATTGCCAACTTTGATGATTAATCGATAGAATTTTTGGCTGCTGCACAACCGGAAGTAAAAAACAAATCGAATTGGGAGACGAGGAGAAGGAGGAGGAGTGGGCATGAAAAGAGACACCTTGGCGACAGCGAATTCAAGTGGCCACCGATTGATGCCCAGATCGATGAGACAGCTCTGCGTTTACCTGGCCATTAACACGCTGCGAATAAGCCGCTTGATGCTAACTTAATTACACAGCCTCAAAGGCTGCGGTAAGCAAAACAATGATGGCTGTGGGCGGTGCAAGAGGGTGGCAGGTGGGCCATGATAGGTGACAGGTGTGGCATTTTACAGGTAATGAAGTTCGGAATGCGCTCAAACTGTGAGTTTGAGTTGAAACTGGAGCTGAAGAGCATTGTGCAATGCGACTGATACGGATAAGCTTCTTTGGCCGCACACACTTGGCCGCGTTAATGGATGGCACAGCAGGAGGACAGGTGGTAAGGTCCACCTTGGACACTGAAAGGAGGTCATTTTAATTAACCCGCTGGCTGCGTTCAATTAATGCGAACAATAAAACAATGGAAAACCAATTTCCGAAGCAATAATGACATGATTACATACGGAGTTTGGGGAGAAGTAACTTTTCAAATAACTTTTATTCGTTTACTTAAGAAGAACGAATCTCTGACGAGGATGGAAACTGGATAGGTAAGCAGTTTCTTAAAGAGAAAAGAGAAATTATGCTTTCCGAATTGAAATTAATCTTTTTTTGGCCTAAATGATTATGATTATGATGACTATAAGCCAATATAAAAACTAAATAAATATAAATAACTAAGTATTTAATAAATAATACTAATAAATAATAAAAACAATTTTATTTAATTAAATTTAAAAGTTTTAAGTTTGAAAACGTATATTAAACTGTTAATATTTGCCCAAGCCTCAGTAGAAAAATTAAATAATCCATAAATCGATTACAAATTAAACTAAAAAATGAATATAATCGATTCTGTAATTCAAAGTGCCTGTTTCTAAACTTTTCCCCTATAGCCAAATGCCCTGAAGCAGCTGCTATAAATTCAAGCACTTAAATCGAAGTGAATTTAAGTGGAATATCTATGGCAGAGCAAACTGCAGGCAAACTGCAGTCAGTGGCACTTGTTTAGTGTTTTTGCCAGCGACCTTGAACTTCCACGTAGCAGCAAAAAAGAGAGAGAGCAAGAAGAAGGAAAAAGAACGAGAAGAAATGAGAAGAAAACAAAATAAGGCTAAAGGAAGGCAGAAAACTGTTGCCTACTTTCAGGCGGCTCATAAATTCACACTCTCGCACACTTCTAATCTCTTTGGGCATTATTTTTGCATTTCGGGGATGAAAAATTAAATGATGTATTTGTTTTCCGTGTGAAAATGAAAATAAACACCGCAAACATTCAAAGCAAAAGAGAGAGAGGGAGAGGGAGCAGTGAAAATGTGTAGAAGAAACCGAAAACAAAAGCAAACAAAGCAATCAATGATAAGCGAGGCAGCGGGCAAAAGACAAACACAAACAGAAAAACAACACAGAGAAATGGAAATAGAAAATCTCTCTGAAAATGTCGCTGATTGAATCGAACTAAAAATAAGGCAGGCAACGCGGCGTATGAGCAATGTGCGTATGCGTGTGTATGCGTTAGTGTGCAAATTATTGCCATGCTTCCCCATGATATATACGTATATAAAAGCCCCATGGATCCTCATCTACATACTACAAATGTATATTTTTTTTTGTTAATAAATTTTCAAAAGCTGTGAATATAATTTTTGACAGGCTTTTCTCGTGGGTGTGTGTCTTGGTCGGCCAGGTGACATTTTCACGCTATAATTTCCCCTCCTCCTGCTGCTTTGTCACGGATTTTCTCTAGAATTCTCACGCCTTTTCTCTCGCCTCTTTTTTTTACATAATCAGCACAGCTATTGAAAGCAATGAAGAGCAGCTCATCTCCATGTGAAAAGGAGGATAGGGACTTTCCACACACACTCACTCGGTTTGATTTCTTCTATTTGTCGGTGTCTCGCGTAACTCTTGCAAATTTATTCGCATGCCTTGGCGGCGGCGTTAAAAGGACTTTCACTTGGTCTTCACTTTCAATCAGATTTTGTTGATTTTCTTTTTTAATATTTGAAATATTTTATACAGCACTCGCGCCACGTTTACTGGTGCTCCTTAAGGCGGCACCCTCACGCACAGCGCGACAGGTAAAAGATCTACGAGGAGATCTCTCCACTTTCCAATATATATACTCTATATATATATATACAGATATCGAACTGGGGGGCTATATAGGTGTTAGATCGATCGCGCACGTCCACTCGCGAGCGTGCCAGAAATGAAAATGAATGTTTGCTCTGCTCACAGCCAGAGTCGCTTGATGATCAGCCGTTCTTGAGGTGAAATTTTATAAATATAACCTGAGGCAACAACAACAACAACAACAACAGCCACAAGACAAAATATTTCTGTGTCTTCTTCCCACTTTCCCACATTTCTTCTTGTTGTTGTTGATTCTTTTTTTCTCAGCTTCACCCGACCCCAACGAACCTGTGTATATGAATGTATATTTCTATATAATATTATATAGATAGGTACCCATAATTTGCTGTAAGAATTCCGCTTTTTACAATGTCGCATTGAGAGAGATTCTATAGATGGTTACCTGTTATTGTTTTGTCTTATTCCGCAGTTTCTTTGAGTGAAAAATTTCACTTTTCCTGCATCCAGAAAAAGAAAAGCCAAGGAAAAACATATCAGAGCCCACGCATTTATCTTTAAGTATGATTCATTTGGTCAGTTTCTTAAATATTTATAGAAAAAACAGTGAAAGGCGAAGGCCTTTATTGATGCTTATATAGGAAAAGGAAATTGATGTCTGAACAAATATAGCCAGAGTTCTCAATTAAGCAATCAAGCCAAGAAAATTTATTAAGTATAATTAAAGCAAAGAAAGTGTTATTAAATTAACTTTAGTCCTCTGGTATTCCAGGTTATATTTATGAAATATTAAAACAAACCAATTCAGTAGCATGCAATTAATTAATTAACTTTGCTTATTTAGCTCATGAAAACCATTTATTTATCAACTGCAAATATACGCAGACAGTAAATGTTTATAGAAAACCAAACCACCCCAAAATGTTGCCTCTTCAATTTATTAATATTTTCCCTAACCCCATGTACTACATGTTTAGCATGCTATGAATAGCATCATTCCTCTCTGTCACCACTTTCTATATAATTGGTCTGCATTTTGCCTTTTTCTCGCCAGACATTTGGTCTTTTGTCTGGCCAGTGCAAGTCTCCCATGGCAGCAGTCAGTCGCCTGTCAATCGTCTGATGAATTGAGGTTCTCCTCGTTTTCCGTTATAACAAAGCCACAGCCGAAAACATAAACAAAAAATAAACCAAAATAATAATAATTGCGATTTATGAGCGGGACCAAAACAAAGATGTCAACGCGTTATGCCAAGGCAGCTCCAAGTTGTTGACGGACTCTAGGTCAGTCCCCATTAACATTGCCATAGCCAATGCGTAGCTGTATCCTGAAGAACACTGAGGAAAATGTATATAATTTATATTTAAAATTTAAGAAAATAAAAATAATGAAAATTTCTATTTGTAAATGTAGAAAAACATGCAAGTTTATTTTAAGCCTTTAAACTTCAATGTATAAAACATTTTAGTATCGAAAATTAAATTTTGAAAAAGGTATAACGCTAAATATTATTCTGAAAATAAGCCTTAAGATACTTTCTTAAATTACACATTTTTATAACGATCTATAAGGTTTTCCCCGTGTACATTTCTTGCTTTTCATCAGCACATTTCTGCGCAGTTTTTGCTTTTCTTCGTTTAATTGGAATTGCGTATCGCTGGCAGATGCATTGTGAGTGCATCAAAAGTTCTCGGTTCTCGATTCTCAGTTCTCTGACGGGAATAGTATCTGTATCTCACCAGCACTCCCATTAGACGGAGCCTGCATAGTCGAAAGCGTCTCATTAGGCCCGAGCATGATTAATTAGAATTGATGGATGGCCAATTGACAGATGGCATAACGAGCGAACAGAGCGGCCGCTAGCAAGGATACATTATTGATGGACATGTGTGCAGGCAGGGAATCCGTAGCCACTTGAAAAGGGGACACTCTGAATTGCCAGCCATCAGCGCCTTGGCTAATTGCCCCCAAAAAGGAGTCCCAGCAAGGTGGCAAGGATGAGGCCTACAATGAGAGACAGAGGAGCCAACGTGGTAAAGTGGCAATAATAACGAATTAGCAAACAATTTCAAGTATTAGCCAAGCAGAGCTAACTAAGAGGGTGGTCATGAGAGTTGCCAATTGATAGATATTTCACAGGAAAGCCTAATTGGAATTTATGGGAAAATTTTGCAGCAGAGAAGTTGATTTGATGCAAATGCAAAGCGGGATACTCTTAAATTTGGAAGCTGATTTAGTTGTAAGTCCATTAAAATATTGTCAAACTAATTCCAATTAAGAAGTAAAGGGATGCCTTACATAAAATGAAATATAATTAAATAAAATTCTGAGCAATGCAAGATTATATGCATTCCAAAGAAAGAGAAATATTTATAATTACATTTCATTGAAACTCATTCACTTCATTTAAATGCAAAGGTAAATTGTATGGTAAAGAGAAAAATTCATTGTAAATTCAAAACAAAGGAAAAATACAATGAATGGAAGAATATATTTACTTTTCCGGGTAAAAACATATAAAGAAGCTTGTTAAATATTTAAACTATTCTTCTAAAGTTTACTTATTGAATAAGTTACCAGAACTACAAAATTATATTAATAAATATATTTTACAAATATTTTAAAAAGAAAAATAGATATTCCATAATCAACTATTTATTTAATTTATTCATAAATATCCTTTAAGCCTTTAATCTTCTCTTCAACCCACAACATCCTGAATCCTTCCTAAGTGATATTTCCTGCCAAGTTTTTTCCCAGAAACTGCCTAAGCACACCTCCCCAAAGGCAACGCCTACCGCTTGAAGGAGGGGCAAGCACAACACCGAAAACAAACTATTTCCAGTCAGACAAATGGCGTTAAGCACATAATAACCAATTTCTCTAAATACGGCCATAATTATGAACGCCCACACACACACTCCACCCATCCATCCGGCCAACACACACAAAAGGATCCTCTTGTGAAGTGTTGCTGCCTTTCTTGTTGCTGTTTTCCCTACTTCATTTGGGCGCGCTTGTTCCCGCGAACTTAGTTTGGCCAAAAAAAAAAACGAAAATGCTAAAAGAAAAAGTGAAAGTGAATGCGAAAGTGAATGCCAAAGTGAAAGTGAGAGCGGCACAAAGTTGGCAAGTGAGAGAGCAGGGGCAAGGGCAAGGATTTATCGTAATTAGGCATGCATGAGCATATGCTGTCGTCTAAGCTCAAGGATATGACTCTCATCCTACGAAAGGGGAGTTACACAGAAATTAAATAATTGGAAATTTTTAAAATTATAAAACATATTAAAATATTAAATAATATTAAACGCCAGACAAATATTTTCACTTAAAAATAAAAACATAATCTAAGTCATAGTTCTATTAAAACAAACCTAAAATAACTACAAAAAAATCTAAAAAAAATCTTGTTAGCTAAATAATACTAAATAAAGTATTGATTTTATTTTAAAAAATATTTAATAATAAAATAAAGTATACTAAATCGCTATATATATATTTTTTTTAAATTATGTTGATGATAGGACCACTCTTAAAATAATTATATAGCTAAGAAAAGAATATTATTAACCCCTTCAGGAATATATATTTGACAGAATAAACATTTAATATATTTTAAAATATAATTTTAAGCAATATAACATAATTCTCTTTAAGCAAAATTAATTTAAGATGCTTTTTTAAAAAGAACATCTTATATTCCAAACAAACTCTCTAATTTTCCACCACATTTTCCCACCGTGTGAGCAAACACAGACTTGGGCAAACATCAGCTAAGAAAGGGGGCCAAAAGAAGGGTAAAGAGGGGTGTGTAGAGCTGTGAGAGGGAGGGGTCTAAGGCCCCCCAATGTACATAATTAATTGTGCTGCTGTGTTGGCAAACACGCGGGCGCCGGAAAGTAGGCAACACGCTTTTTTCGGCAAAACGGTTCGCCGTAATTGATTGCCTCATGCACGTCACACACACACACACACATACAATGCGAAGCGAAGCCATGTGTGTGCGTGTGTAATTTCCTGCGAAGCTACAAGTATTTTTAAATGAATATTTCTTTAATTAGTTCGCTGCTGGCACAGCTATTTGCTGCGGCTCTCAGAAAAAGGGGTTTTTGCTTACGGTTTGGATATGCTAAAGGGCCAAGCCACAAAAGACTTGACCGCAAATAATAATGCACAAATGTTGCCAGGCCGCAAGTGTTTCCAGGCAACACACACACACACACGGGTTTGGAATATTTTCTTAAATTAACATTAGCAACATTTGGAACTGCCATTAAGACGGTCGCCTGGCAGCCATTTGCCAAGACTCTCGCCCAGTTTTTAGACCCAAAAGGTCAGCCCGCAGAGCACAGTTGTAATTCGTTGGCTTGAACTGAAGAATAGGAGTTTCTGGGCTTTATAGAAAACGAAATTAAAAGTTTTTTAGGTATTAATTTAAAAGATAATAAAGACAATATCCAAAGAAGTATTTTGTGTAATCAAATCAAAAATTGACTTTTGAAGATACAAAAACTAAATTAATAACTTTGCTCGGTTGCTAGACTTAAGAATTCATTCAAAAGAGACATTTTTTCTCTGAAAAAACCCTAGTTAACCTCCTCGAAGTCCCCCTGTATTAACCCTAAGGTCATTCTCCCCCTCCGTTCAGTGGCCGAAAACAGTTAAGCGTAAACATTTTCGTTTGTGTTGGCCTTGTGTTTAGTTTGGCTTCTTCTTTAAATTATGGCCAGAGGCCTAAGTAAACCAACTAACTCCGTTGGCCATTCTTAAGGGAGCGGAGCGTTATTACCTGGCGCCAGTCAAATTAGCAGGGACATCCAAAATTACGTATACGCAGTGTAGGACCTTTTGGACTGTCGCACGTGTTCATAACCCGTTACGCAGGCTGCGGCATTACCACAAAACAAAACGTCAAATGTTTGCTTAACGGCAAAACATTAACATTTAACCTTGAAGGCACAAATTACCGGATTCTTGTCACCTCCAGGACCAGGACAGAGGAGAGCTTGGTGTAAAAGTTTGTGTGTGTGTGCTGTCCGCAACTTTTTACCTCAGCAGGCGGCCGACCCATAAAAAATCCTGCGGTGTGGCATCAACAGCTATGGAACATATGCGCCATTCCTCCTCCCACCTTCCCACCGGCACTTCGATGATGATAAGAGTGCCGCAGCATCGCGGCGTTCCGGCATCTTGGCGGTGTTCCTCTGCATCCTTGTGTATCCTTGCCAGCAGCATGACGTCGTCGTCGACGGCGCCTTGTGATAAATAGCTTGATTTCAAGCGAAAGGCGCGGGAGTAGATTTATGACACACGCATTTTCCGCCACCGAGAAAGTGGAAAGTCAGCTCCGGTTGGGAAAATTCAGCGCCGCCAGCAGGCAGCAGGCAACGGCAGCGGAAAAGAATAACACGAAGATCGAATGTCACGCAACAGGCAAGGACACAGTTATGTATCGGGGAAAATCGCCTATTTAAAGCGAAAATCGTTTTTATTTCAGCCGAGGAATTTGTTTGCATATTCAACCATAATTTCAGCACATATTTTGGGTTAAAATTTCATTATTTTGTTGTCCTTGAACTGCGAAAATGTTGTGTAAAAGCTGTTTAAAATTTCAGGGAAAATTCATTGAGGGTAAATTAATATTAAAATCAACAACAAATATTGTTGAAACAATATAATCATATTTAATAAGCTATTATATTAATAAACTGTAGTATTGTTTATATTTCCAGGAAAATCTACGGAAAAAAAGGGTTGAAGGGAATTTAATATTCAAGGGAATATAAAATGAATAATAACAAGAGTTTCCTTTTGAAGCAGAAAGTAAATAAATACGAAAACTAATTTATTTAAGCAAAAATTATGAAAATGTTGCATTATTAACGAGGAAAAACTGTGACATAAATTTTGAAAATATAAAAAATAAAATGTAGAAGCAAGAAAAAGACACTTAATACTAATTTTACAAACCAAAATGCCAATGAAAAATAGTATATATTTAATTTAAACAATTTTCTTTAACAGAATTTCAAAGAAAAAAATATATACTTAAATTAAGCCATTAAAAAACCCCTTCTTATATTTTTCTCACCCACAAAACCCATCAGGAAGCTTTCAATTAAATAATGACAAACATTTCTGTTTAAAAACTTTATTCAATATCGTATTTTTTTGCAACCGCCAATCATTTAACCATAAATTGTATTTATGGCAACTCGACTTGAATCGGAAAGCGGAAAAAATAAAGTTGATTGAATGGCATTTTAAAGCTAAAGTTGCAAATTTGCAATGAAGAGAGAGTGAGATATTTTCATGAAGAAAACGATTGACCATTTTATGGCTTTTCCACTTGAAATCGGTTACGCAATCGAGCGAGTTTCTGCTTACGACTTAAGCTGGCGACAATTGTGAAGAAGAAGGGGGTTGGGAGGCGAAAAATTGAATCATTCCTTCAGTCAAAGTTTTCTGATTGAACATTTAAAGGAACACCGCGATTGGGTTTCGTGTTCGCGTCCGGATTCGATTTCGAATCGCGACGCGGTAGCCATGGTATTCCTTGGCAATTTCCTTTACCGGAGTCTTAGCTAAGCTGCTTACACTCGCCCACCGAAGCACACTCAACGCACACCAACACACACACACACACAAAGAGCGTGCTATGCCATGGCGAAGCAACCTCAACAATTTCAACATCCGGCTTCCGCTGCAATGTAATGGAAACTCGAGGCGAGCGTCTTGCCGCCGTGCTGTGCCAACATATTAAAGTTGGCAAATGCCGAAAAGGGGGAAGAAAAATAAATACACTGGGAAAATTAGTAAAGTGTACTGTAATTTTTAAAGAGAAAATAGCAAGAATATTTAACAGGAACTAGGAAAATATATTTCTTTATAAAACTTAAGATTAAATATTGTAAAACTCTACAAATCGGATATATATTTTTCTCTCTGCAGAATCAGAATCCTAAAGCAGGTCCTGCCTGTCTCCTGGCAAACTCAGAAAGTGTCGGGTGCGGAAATCTAAGGCAAGACAGGAATAAAACCGAAAGTGACACATTGCAGCGGGATATTGAGCGGGACAATGAGAGCTGCTTGTAGGACGGGCGAGTCTCAGAGGCGGGTTAGCCAAGGTCTGGGCCTGGCTTTAAGGAAAACTGAGAGGCGGGGACGACAGGTGGCACCCGGAGGGGCACCACATAAATCAGAGTCGGGCCTAAATGCGAACTCATAACTCCCGCACCGCACCGCATATCGTTCTTAGCCTTGTGATTAATTGCTCGCTGCGGTGAATGTGGAAATTATTTTAATTTTCCAACGCCACGCGCATAATTCGCGATAAACCCGGAGAACAAAAAATAAAAATATATTCAGTCGGAACTGAACACTTATGCGCAAGATAATTCGTTAGGGTCTCGGGGCAAATCTCGATATATATATGAATATTTTATGCAGATTTATCTGGCGAGTTATTTTCATGAAATGCACATTAAGAGGCGCCTGCGAGGCAACAGTGCGTATGCGTGATATCTGAAACATTTAATTCAAGTCGTCAGCAAGGCGACGGCGGCTTAATTTGCAACTCAAACTTGAAACCAAATTCTGGGCCAGGCCAAACTACTTTTATTCCAGCGACAGCGACAGCGCGACAATTGACAACCCCGAAATGCAGTGCAAACTGTGAGAAAAACTTTTCAATCGTCTCGCTTTTATTTCTTACGGCTGCTTGAGAGAAAATCTGCCAGAGGAAAACTGTGCAAGAAAATGCAAGGGGAGGGGGTAGAATGGAAGTTGAGACGCACCAAGTCAGCAAGTCAAATAAAAAGTTTTTCGTCAACATTACGCAAATTAGTTTGTCAGTCGACGAGCCAAGCAAATGCAGCCGACAAAACCCTAATGACATTTAGACTGAGGGAAAAGTTATACCCCAGAGCCAAAGTCGAAATCCAGGCCTCAGCCTTAAGCTGCATCTCCTTCATCCTTTTGGCCCGTAGTTCTTCCGTTCGTCAGTTGGCTGCGCCTAATGGTTGAAGTTTAAGATCCACGGCAATTAGGATTTTGGCGGCTTTATTTGGCAAAAAGATAAATCGAGAGCGATTCTTACAATGTCTTTTGTTTTATGCAAACAAAAATTGGATTTCTGGCTGATAATTGGATTTTTTTAAATTATAAAAGCTTAGTAAATTGTAAGTAAAGATGTATTATTATTTTAATTAATTCTTTTTTTTAAGACAAATAATAACATCATTTTCAATCAATTTGAAGTCCAATTTAGCCACAAAAAAGCTTTGAAGTAATCTAGAAAATTATTCAACTAACTGAAAATCCTTAAAAATTCACATAAATACCGAATACAATTGAAAAGGTTAAGGCTTCTTCTTTCATCTTCAATTGGATGCCGGCTATCCTCCTAATGGTCCAGCAGTTTACGCCCCCTGACAATTATGGCGATGATTGGGGATTCGATTCCCCTCATTCGATATGCATTAATATGCTGCTTTCTGCCGACGAAATCATAAAATCAAATATGCATTGAATTACCGTGTACGGAAGGACAATTATATTATACCTTCTTCTGACTACCGAAAAAGAGCCAGAAAAACCAAAGAAATGAAAAAGGGAAAGTAAGCCGACGAAAAAAAAAAAAGGAATATTTAACTCAATTTGCTGGCCGTAAATTTGGTACCACAAGCAGCTGGGCCGCCGCCTCATCCTCAGCCTCCTCCCGTGAAAAAAAAAGAACCCTAAATCGGCCGCATTTTTCACTCAACATTTTGCCGGTGTACAAATTTTGTGCGTTGTTTTTTTCTGCTGTTTTTTTGTTCTTTATTTTTATTCCCGTTTATGCGCAAAAGTGCGTGTAATTCAATTTTTCATGCGCCATGTGACAAGGGATGTGGCATTGGGAAAAGTGGGGCTGTGGGGGAGCGGTGTTGTTAACGGCTACCTTTTCTGCTGCGAAATTAAGACAAGGGAAAATATGCGCTAAGGGCATATAATACATATACATATTTGGCACGCAATTTCCCACGGCAATGTCCTTCTTATATTGATGGCCGATCCCTTTATCGTTATCAATTTTTGATGCCTTTTTGAACCCTTTTTTTTCTGCAGGGTTTTTAAGTTTATTTTCTGTTTTTTCTTGGGAGTTTCCTTAACGAAGAAGGGATTTCCATTTTGTTTTTCTTTTGTATAGTAAATGTGTTTTAAAAATGTTGCATTTTGTGGGGTAATAAGGCTGATCCTGAGATCCTAGCGGCGTGCGCGTTGGCGCGAACGAGAACGAGTACGACCACGCATAGCCATAGTTCGTGCAGCGGAACCAGTTGCTGCTCCTACTGCTGCGGCTGATGCAGATCCTACTGCAGATCCTGTTCCTGCAGCGGCCGCTCCTTCTCCTACAGCTGCTCCTGTTGCTGCTGCAACTGCTCCAGCGGCTCCTATTGCTGCTCCCATTGCTGCTCCTCTTCCCATTCCTCTTGCCGGTCCTGTTCCGGCACCCGTTCCCAAGACTCCTGCTGCTCCACCTGCTGCTCCAAGCCCAGTTGCTCCTGGAGCTGATCCATACACTATGCGATACAAATTTGCAGCATTATGCACCAGTTGGCGATTGGACATGAGAACCGTGCGTCCAACGCTTGGCGGAGGCATTGCCCAGTCACCGCTGAAACCCTCATCCATCATGCTGCGCTGAATGGCCATCTGCAGCTCGTAGTTGGCAAAGGCACTGGGGGATGTTGTGTGGCTAATGGTTGTCCCCCCAGACAACGGTGGCTCTCCTGAAGTTGACTGCTGCTGTGGTTGCGACTGCGACTGCTGCTGCTGCTGCTGAGACTCTCCCCCTGAAGCCGTGGACGCAACTCCCGATGACGAAGCTGCCACTACGGTTGGCAGCGAGGCCGTTGGGACAACCGTTGACAACGAGGCCGCCAGCTGACGTGCCAAGCTGCGGCTGGGCACGACAATCTCCTCTATGTCCAACGCAGTTGAAGAATCGCTGCGGTCGAGTATAAGATCATCCAACTCCTCCGCATCCTCATCCTCCAGCTGAAGATCCGCCTCGAAGCCGCCGCAATCATCCGGATTAATGCGTCGCGAGAATTCCACAAAGTTGTGGAAGCCCGGCGACAAGAACTGACCCAGACCCTGGCCCACCGACGAGGTGCTTGGCCCATCATAGTCTTCCTCCTGCTGGGCAAGGTACTGGACATTGCACTCGTAGGCGATCATGCTCTCGTATGGGGAACGGGCAAAGTTGATCAGCTCGTGGACAAAATGAGTCGTTTTGGGCCCCAGATGCTTGGTCAGCGCCTCCTTAAACTGGTCACTGCGCATGCTCATCAGCGGCAGCATGTCCATGATGAGCTCGAAGACAGCGAAGACTTCGCTCTTGCCGCGCAGCAGGACAGAGACATCGCGGTTCACCCAGTTCATGACGCGATGGACTTCATAGGGACTATGACTAGGTGGAGAATATTAAAAATTAGTTAACTCTCCTCCTCTTCTTGAGGCGGAGACTCACCTGTAAGTCTGTGGCGACCATTCACGAAAACCGCGTACCTGGCGTCCCGGCAGGGAGTACAAGGAATTGGCGTACACGTAGATGCGCCATTGGACCATCTGACGAGGCATCATGATCCTGACCAGCTTAAAGCAATCACTACGAACCCCAACCTCCTCTGCTGGTGAAATTGATGAATGCAAAATTCCTTGGAAGTGCAAATCTTCAATGTCTCGATTCAATTGTTCCGCTTGAAGGCTCAAGTTACACACGCACACTCTTGTCTTTTCTTGATGACAAATTTTTCACAAATATTTATTTAACAAAGCTTAGGCTGCATGTAAACAATCGGTAACTTATTGATCTTGTGGCGACACCCCCAAGTGCTGCACAAAACTTGAAATAAACAAATTATTAAAAAGAAATTGCCGCCGAGATCGAAAGCCAGAAAAAAGCTGCGTTTCACGTTCACTGCAAAGACCTGTCTACACGTGCACTGCTAAGACCTGTCTACACGTTCACTGCCAAGACCTCTCTACACGTTACGATGTCCATAGATGTAGGAACGTTGGAATTTTTGAAGCAAAGAACAACGCCAACTGAAAAAATAATTAATAATTAATAAATAAAATATTAATAAATGATATTTCATTTAATTTTATTAAAAGTTAATATTTAGATTTAGCACTAAGGTCTAAAAAATTGTTATATATTAATTGAATTTTATTTTGAAGTAATAAGGGAATTCCCTTAAGCTAGTTAAGACCTGTCTACACTACTCTAGTTTAAAACAAAATATAAAATTTATAAAATCAAAACTAAAAAAAACTATCAACACAGATTAAACAGTCCGTAAGTCCAGATCATCTTTAGATTATAAAGATAAATAATTTTTTTTTAACCGAAATTTAACAATTAATTATATTGAACCCAAAAAAAGTAATGCAAAACTTGTTACCATTTAATCATTACATTTATTATGTATTTGATTCGTATTATAGTTATAATTCTTCCGTTTTTGTTCTTTGTATGCAGAATACTCTAAAATTAATAACTGGCCACGCCCATTCGTGCAAAAAAAACATTAACACACCTGTCATACAATGAACCAGCGCTGAGTTCTATGGTTTTTAAGCTACGAAGACAGTTGCCACTATAATTATATTTATAATTATGCATTAATAGTTTGGTATTTTTTATAAATATACATTTACAGTAGGGACCGTTGATCGAATGGATTTATTTGAAGGGTGGGGGTGGGGGTAAACATTAAGGGTATATATGCAATATATATATGTATTATAATGTATGTATGTAAGTGTATATCCGAATAATATGTACATCTTAAAATGGCAACCTTAGGCCTAGGCTTACAACTAAAGTTTAAGCTTACGTAGCAAATTATTTACTATTTTTTTTCATATTTTTTGGGTTCAGGAATCGAAACGCGACGAGACGGAAACCAGGTGAACTATATTTAAAATTACAAATTTAAAAGAACCTCCTCATCCACCTACTCTTGTCAATCCCATAATCACCATCCTCGTCTTCATCGTCGTTGTGGTTATCATTAATATTCTCCGCCAAGTCTCTTTCTTCTACAGCATTTCCCTGCTCCTCCTCCTCCTCTTCGTCGTCGTCCTCGTTCTCCTCAGCTTCCTCGTCCTCATCTTCCTCCTCGTCCTCATCAGCCGTGGCCGTATCCTCGGCAGTTTCCACAACTGCTTCCTCAGCCGCCTCCTCCAAGGCATAATTACCAGTGCGCTCATGGCGCAGAAAGTTGAGGGCCACATCTATAAGAGAGGGTGCCATGTCGTCCTCATCCTCCAAAGGCAGAGCCTCGCGCATAAGGGGATCACTGCCATAGCTGGCCGCTCTCCAATTGAATGAACTCAGTGGCCCCGAGCTCGTTGTGGCCGTAGTTGAGCTGCTGGCCAAACTGGCACTCTGGCTGGACAGATTGCTGTGATTGCTGCAGCTGCGTCGGCGTTTGGGAGCACTGCAGCCTGGCGTTTCGGTGTCTTCCGGCGGGGTGGGATGCTGTGCCTCCTCCTCCTCCGTGGGTTCCTGCTGCTGCTCCTGCTTCTGCTCTTCTTCCTTTGGCTGCTGAGACTGCTGCTGCTGCTCCTCCTCATCGTCATCCCCATTATCATCCTCGTCGGGCATTTGCAGCTCCAGCTTGAGGGGCTTGCGATCCTCCAGAGTGGCCTCCGCCTTGAGAGTGGCTCGCAAGGCGCTGAGCTGCAAATTCTCCGTGCTGTCATCATCCGAATCATCGCTGCTGGTGTTACTCTTGTTGCGTTCGGGAAAATGTGGTTCTAAAAGCGAAAAATTCAAAAAATTACTTGGTGTCTTCTGGGAATAAGAAATAGTGCCAGTTCCCCGGAAACTCACCCGATGACTCAGAGCTTTCGCCAGCGGACTCGTCAGCACACGAACTACAGCTGTCACTGCTACTTTGCTGCTGCTGCTCCGGCTGCGTCTGCATCTGCGGCTGTTCCTTTTCTGCCTGCTCCTCCACTGCAGGCTCTGCTGGTGTCCCCTCCTCCCGTTCAGCTTCCGCTGCTTGCCTTTTGGTGCGTTTGAGGGCTTTTCCTTTGCTCCTCGGAGATTTGCCTGAGCCTTTCCTTGTGGCCACCGTCTTCCGTGCCTTTTTCTTAGCCGAAGGATTGAAGGAACTGCTATCGGTGCTGCTTTCCTCATCGCTGCTGGTGGTCCAGCCAAAGGATGAGCTGCTGTCGGTGGTGCTCTCAGTGGCACACCGGGCGGGGATGGTGGAACGTCGCTGTCGCGATCTCTTTGAGCGTGTGGAACGCGTGGAGCGCATTTGATCTTGACGCCGGACCTCGGCCATCATCAGCTTCCAGTTTTTGCCCCTGGTGGCCGCTGCACTCGTGCTGGGACCCATGTATAGAAAGGGACGCGAGGATTGGTCCGTGGTTGCCTGATCAATCCCCGCCTGATCCTCGGGATTGCCCGCGGCTGCTGAAGGAGCCGCAGGTGTTTCATTTTGTTCATTGACAAACACCACATCCGAGTCACTGTCTGAACCCAGACTCACTTGCTCGGGCGTTCTCAGATGCGGTGGCTTCAGCTCGAGAACGAACACACACTCGTCCTCCTCGCCAGAGCTGCTGCTGCTGCTGCTCTGCAATTCGATGTGGGCACTAACGGGTAGAGTGGCGCCAGCATGGCGACGGCTGGGATTGCTTCCATCATTGATGGCAGCCACCTCAGCATTGGCGGCCGCGTCGCCATCATCAATCTCAATGATCTCGGCTCCCGCCGCCTCACCGCCACCTGCTGGCGCTGGACGTCGCATGCTTAGGTTAATGGCCACGGTCTGTGATCCCACATTGGATGTGGTGGCGGCTCGACGTATGGAGATGCCCGGCAGTTCGCTGCCATCACTGGCCATGGTCACACTAAACGAATGCGTGGCACTGGGATTTGTTACAATCACACTGGTGGACGGACGTCCCCCTGCTCCAGATCCTCCTCCTCCTCCTCCATTGGCAGTGCTCCATTCATTAGACGCCTCAGCATTTGCCACATCGCCATCTACGCCATCGCCCACCTCCAAGTGTAGATCACTCTCGTTGGAGGACTGTGTCTCCACCATGTCCAGCAGATCCACTTCCACCTCTTCGGCCACCCGAGCAGAGTACTGAACGACATGGTCGTAACCAATCATATCGAAGGGGGAGCGAGCAAAGTTGAACAGCTCGTGGATGAAGTGGCTCGTTCGATCGCCCAAATAGGGCGACAGGCGGCGACGGAATGTGGGTCCCAGGATATTGGTCATCGGCAGGATATCATGCATCAGCTGCATCACAGTGCCCACGCTGTGGGCGGCATTCCTTAGGAGGCAGACAATGTCGCGCTGAATCCAAGGCATCAGGCGATGCATCTGGGCGGGATTGTTTCTGCAACAGCAAGAGTTTTAGTAGGTTATCCAAGTAAAGGTCATACTAAACTTACCTGTAAAAGCGGGCACTCCACTCGCGAAAGTGTCCCGTCAGGCTGTCGCTCACTGGCAGGGCATATAGCTTTCTATCGTAGACATAGCGCCGCCACAGCTGAATCAGCGAGCTGCTGCCAGCGGTGGCTGCATCCGTATCGTGGCGGTAAAAGTTCATCAGCTCCCAGCGATAAGGCTCGAAGCGATTGTAGGTGTGACGGCCACCTGAAGCCTCCACAGCGGGCAAAACCTCCTCAGCGGCCAGGACTCCTCCCGCTACTCCTGCTGCACCGCTTCCGGCGCCAATGCCTCCCTCAATGTCATTGGTCATTACGGCCTGGTTCTGGACCAGAGGCATGAATCTGGGACGCCGGACAATGTGGAAACGCATTGCCGGATGATCCGGCTGCGAAGGCGACGAGGTCTGCACTGGATAGCGATCGTAGTCGTCCAGGGTGCGCACATTATGGATGATGGTCTTGAAGCGCTGCTTGCACAGTGGGCACTCGGCCTTGATCTGGATTTGGAAGGAGATTAAGAGTGATTAGAGATTACAGATCTTTGAGATTTGCCACCACTCACCTTGCTCCACTCGCAGAGGCACTTGAAGCAGAACTGATGCATGCAGGAGTCCGTAAAGCACTTCCTGTGGCACCGCGACAGGCAGATGGCGCAGTTGGGCGGCGGTGAGGAGCGTCCCCCGGAGGCAGCGGCACTGGTTCCGGGATCCCCGCTGCCGCTGCCACTGCCTGCCTCGTTGTCACCCGACTCGCTGCCGCTTTCCGTGAGATCGGCAAACTTCATGGCCGACGCAGGCAGTGTGAGTGTGCCGCTGGTGGCGCCCGCTTCCACGATCACCGAGGCGCCCACATCTTCCGCAAAGGAGGATGCAGCGGCATCCGCATCTGGCGGCACCTCCTCCGCCATCGTCGTCGCAGTCGTCGGCAGAGGGCTGCGAAACGACACGAAATCGGGGACCGGAAAATGGGCGAGAGAGCTGCTTTGCCTGCAATCGGAGTTTTTGTGTCTACTCTGGCCTCCTCTTCCTCTCCGCTCTCGGCTCACCCTCGCCCCCTCACACCAACAACACTCTTCAATCAGGCGCTCTCACTCGCTCTTACGGGCACGCTACTCTATCATCTGGTTCGCAATTCGCCTCATGCGTCGTTTTCCAGGCTCCTTTTACGGGCCAGCGGCCACTGTAGCCGTTGCCTTATCCAGTCTGGACGATAGCCGGATCCTTGGAGCTAGCCTCTGCACTATTTTAAGTCCGGAATTTGCACAAAAACCTGGAGATATCGACGACTGAAAAACGTAAGAAACTCGACTTTTTTAGTGATATGGTAGGACCGTTCGTCGGTGAACGCGAAATACTCAAATCCGTGTACGACGCCAAACGGAATAACGATATTTTATTAAATAATTCACAAGAATACGAAACGAAAGCAAAATTTTTTTGATTTGTTTATTGTTTAAATAATAAGCATGGGAAATTGATTATCTTAATTTCGTGTTCTGTTTACATTCCTTTTTTATGAAATTAGAAAAAGGGGTAAAGTGATGTTTATATTTAGTTTGAAGAATTGGATTATTTTGGAAAGGGGAAATTTTGGAGAATATAATTGGGTACAGTATATGGTTTTCTTATTGTTTTATTAAATTTTATAAAATTGATAACATAGGAAGTGAAAAAGTTTATAGATTTAAATAAATTAAATAGAGAATATAACCTAAATTAAAATGTTTATAATAATAATTCAATTAAAAAATAGATGTTACAATTGCTTGTGAAATAATAAAGATAAAGAAGATCTAGAACTCTCTAATGTTTACAATTGTAACGGGCCCGATATAACTAGTTTTGGCATTTGAAAAGAAAGCCACAATGGTAACATTAATCTATCGATAATGGCAATTTCTTGTTCTTGTGGCGTCTATTTCAATTTGTGCTTTATTATTTGAAAATATCATTTAAAATGAATCGCCGCAACAAGCGCACATCCTTCAACCAACTTACCTTTTTCCTGGACACCATGGAGGCGAATCCGCGCCTGGCAGCCAACAAACTAAGTCGCGCCTGCGACGCCAAGAAGTGGAAAGAGATGAGTGTCGAGCTGAACCAGTGCCCTGTGGGTCCCAAGTTGTCGGCCGAAGACTGGCGTAAGGTGAGTGCTGGGGTGCTGTCCGGAAATTTGTGCTCCTCCCAACTAATCCTAGTAATCTCCCCCAGCGCCTGAATGACTGGAAGAACACAACGCACTCCAAGTACCGACGCAGCGTCACTGCCGGCAACAGGACCATGAACGCACAGGAAACCCGTTGTATGCGTATTTTCTTCGGGGAACCATGTTCCCAAGAGCCTGTACAGTTCGATGAGTATCCGGACTACGAAGAGGATCAGCCGGAAGAGCAGGAGTATATCGAAGAGGAGCCACAAGCACAGTACCAGGAACTGGAGCCAGAAGAGGAAAATGCAGCCGCCATGCTTATCAGTAGAGCGGAGCAGAATTCTGCCCAAAGAATTAGACTGCAAAACCCCGAATCAATCATCTATGAAGGTTGGTGTGCCAGCGGCAAACTCGTGATAGCAACTCTATATAATCCTGTACATTTTCAGTTGAGACTATTCTGCCAACTAATACCTCTGAGGAGGAATCAGTTTTGTCCTTCGGCAAGGAAATCCAACACCAGATAAAACGCATATCCGACATCCATAAAGCCGCCCTGGACTTCAAGATTGCCCGCTTCAAGTACAAAAATCCGGGATTCGAATTCAATTTGGGGAATATTTAGTATAAGACAGTTGAATACTAAAGCATATGTTAACTTTAATGTGTAAGCATCATCTAGTGACCTGTTAATTCTTCTAAGAATGGGGTAAAAGTGGAGCCGCCCCTTAAGTAAAGTTTATTACTATGTACAGGTTGACCAAAACTCAGTTGAAAAATAAATAATCATTATTTTTATACGAATTTGTTGAAAATATATGAAGATTGAATGGTTTTAAGAAATTAATAACAATAATGGTTTTTATATGCATAAATAAATGTTATATAAAATCAAAAGATATATCGGTATTCCCGAAATTTACTTTTTAAATCATTACTTAAAATACGAATTAAATTCTGGTAGTGACTTTAATAATATTAAATTAATTCTTATTATTATTTATATATGTTATTTTATTTACAAAAAATAAAATAACACCTTAAAATCATTTTTAAACTCAAAGAAAATTGGTAGGACACTTTGAACTATCGGAAAACGCTACTTGTTAAGAAATTATATATAATTCTTTAATATATTTACGTCAAATCAACATAATTGTTAAAAATTTGTTAATTTTCAAAAATAATTTTGTGCAATATCAATGCTATACATATAAATGAATATAGCTCGATATATCGATATCGATACTATCGCATGCCATCACTGACGCTCCGTATGCAGCCCTACTTTTCTGAATTTTTTTTTACATGCCACCGAAAATCCCCTAACGCCTGCAATTGTTTGTGAACACTTCGCATCGTTTTGGTGGCGTCGATTTTGCATTTCAAGAACTCCTTGAACCAGCGTTTTAAGCTTAAAGAAACAACAAGGGGAGCACTATCGGAGCACAGCGTGGTCAGTGCATGAGTTCCAAGATGGATCGCCGCAAGAAGCGCACGTCCTCGGACCAGTACCAGATGTACATTGATATGATGGAGAACGACCCAATTTTCGCCACCGGCCGAGTGCCGCGCGATTACGACCTGAATTATCTCACAAAGAAGTGGAAGGAGCTCTCCGACAGGCTAAACAAGTGCAGCTCGGGTCCCACACTCACGCCGGAGGAGTGGCGCAAGGTGAGCGCATCCCCCCCCGAGTACACCCAAAACCCCTTCTCTAATCCCCCCCTATTGCCGATTTAGCGCCTAAATGACTGGAAGAACACCACTCGCTGCAAGTACAGACGCAGCCTGCTCTCCACCGAAAAGGACATAGCAATGACTGCGCTGGAGAACCGAGCTCTGGATCTCTTTGGCAAGGTGCCCACCACCACTGGCGAAACGCTGATGAATTTAAAGTCGGAGAAAGATGATCACGAAGACGATCTGGAGGAGATGGGACAGCGTACATCGGCGGCATTTCAAAAGGAACTGCAAGCAGCCGTCGAGGAGGCCATCAACGATGAGGTGGAGGAGGAGGAGATGCTGGAAGAGCATGTCGACCAGGAGGATATGCTCGATGAGAATCTGGCGGACAATGGAGGTGGGGCCGGCGGCATCGATGGCTCTGCAGCGGCCACCACAGCGGTAAATACGGGCGGCGGCACTTATCGCACCATTGTCGTGGACAACACATCCTTCGAGCAGGTGGATGAGGATGCCCAGGCCATGCAGCCGCATCCGGTGGAGTTTGTCACAGCAAGGCGACCGGCTGCAGCGGTTATCAATCCGGGTTCAGCCTCCACGGGCAGTAAGCTAATCAATGGCGAGATGCCGGTCAAGAGGATGAGGACACAGGCCCGGGAACAGATTATTTACGAAGGTAAAATCGCTTGGTACCTTTATACTTACCTTTTTATAAACTGCCATGTTTTTCTAGTTAAAAACGCTCCGCGCTGTATTTCCAACATGCAAGCTGTGCCGCCGCTGCACAACACCAAGCTGGAGAGGGAACCCAGCTCACAGCTGAGCACTGCCTTGAGCAGCAACGATGCCCAGCAGATTGCCCATCAGCTGAAGCGGCTGGCTGACATTAACTACGAGACCCTGCAGTTTGAGATAGCCCGCTTCAAGTTTAACAATCCGGGCTTCCAGTACAATCCGCCGTCCTTATAGTGCACCATCAGCTCCTCCAGCAGCAGCAGCAGCGGCAGCAGGTCCCAGCTCCAGGGCCGGCAGAAGCAGCAGCAGCAGCGGCAGCAGTAGTAGCATCATATGGATCAGCTTTAGCAATTAGTAAAAGAAACCGAAGGGAACGAGTGAGCACCGTCAACTCGAATTGTATAAATCTGTCGCCGCCGGAGAACAGAAATCATAACTTATAATATTAGCCAGTTTTAGTTTAAAATTGACATAGATTTGTATTCATTTCTAATACAAAAACAAACACCACTTTTATTACGATATATATCCCATAATGTCTAAGCTCTTAATGTGTAATATTACCTAAAAGTCAACTAAAATTGGACAAGTAATTTTAAACGCGCGTTGTATGTAAATGTAAAGAATAAAGTTTACCAATGATAAATATGTGCGAGCTGGTGTGTCATGGTTTGCTCCACCTTTTGCCTGTTTGTTGCATTTTTAGGCTTTATTTATGACGCCGGCCAAGAATCGAAGCCAACACGAAAAGTCCATTAATCAAAAAAGGCTGAGAGAGAGATGGCGTCGACAACGCATATGCATTGTGTCCGGAGCTGGAGCGAGCTCTGGGATTTTGTGTTGGTTCGGGTTTGGCTTTGAGCCTGGATTTGGGTCATTTAACCTGACCGCCAACTAGTGGGCGCACTTTGTAACTGTCAGGAGGGCCCCAGAGGCGGCTCTGGCTCTGCTTCGATGCGAAAGAAATCACTTGTAGCTGTTATGGTGTGTGCCCGATGCTGATGCAACAAGTGCCGATCCAAGTCCTCCGCAGCAGCTCCTCCTTCTACTTCTCATCCTCTCTGACTGTATAACTGCAATGGGCAATAGATCATTTGCAGGCCGTGCGCTGCGAATCATAAATTACCAAAGACGACGACGCGATGGCGACGAGGTTGCCGCTGAGGTTCAGACCTCCGCCATGGGACGACGACGCATGGCGTTCCGTTAGGAATCGTTGCCATCTCGATGATAACTGCACAACACGTCGTATGCTTAATCTGTTCTTTTCGGAGAGGATGCACTGGGAGAATATGAAGAGGGCGATTGGGTTTAAAGTTTAAAATTTTTATTTGTATATTTATTTATTTACTTTTTCAAATGGATGTTTAGCCATTTTTTTAACAAATAAAAATTTTAAAAAAATCATAACTAAGTCAAAAAGATATTAATTTCAATTCGGAAAGCTGTGTTATGTTAGTTTTTATTAGGTTAACAAATCTGCATACCTAATTTAATATTTCAGGAAATTAAATTTTTTGCGGATTTTTGAGAATTTTAATGATGTAACCCCTTATAAAATTGTGAAAAAATTTAGAACAATTTTTTTTTCTCAGAAACATCTTACTCGACTCTTCTTTTTATTCTGATTAATAATATATATGATTTACAGGGTCGGAAATAACTCCTTTACTGCGTTAGTAGTTTCTGAATATATATATAATATAAAATATAGTACCCTTAAAGAGTCTAATAAAATATTTACATTTTAAAAATGAAGACCTTATTATAATTATTTAGTGAATATAATATTAAATATTTCTAAACAAAATAAAAAACTTTATACCTTCTAACTTGATCCTTAAAAGTTTTTTTAAAGTGTCTTTGAATATTTTTTAAAGTTATAATACAATCTAAAGATTTTTGCAGTGCTTTTTCTTCCGCTTTTCCGCCTCCTCTTGGTGTGGGTGCCGCTCGCTCTTTGATGAAAAGCCCGCTGGCAAAGCTGATTAACCTACACACACACACTCACTCACTCACTCACACACTCGATGCGAGTACGTCCCGGGGAAATGAGTGTCTGGAGCCCAGATGTCTTCTTCTCACGTGGCGGCTCCATCCTGGCCCTGAGTCGTTCCACAGAGTGCATGGCCAGTCCATTAAATAGTTCGTGTTGCACTCGTTTCGCGATGGGTCTGGGTCTGGGTCTCTGGTCTGGGATTGGGTTTTCGTTCTGGGTTTGGGTTTTGGGCCAGGACACACACACATGATGATAGCCAGCGTGCAGAATTGACCCCTCGAAATAAAATTTCAGCAAAAAATAAAACTAGAATGCAATATGCTGAGACTCGAAGCTGGGAATGCTGTTTGAGAAAGATTTGCTTCATGGGAATTTATTTATGAGATCAGGATAAAACATTGTTAAAGTGTTTAAAATTAAAATTTAATAAAGAAATTTATAAAAATGCTGGCTTATTATGTTTCCCCTTCCATCATTTCCTAAAAACCAACTAGAAATACCCTTTTTGCCAGGACATGAAAATGCAAAGAGGATACAGTATCCCTCTGCTCCTGCTTGCATATTGATGAATCTCTCCGTCTGCTTCATGTTTTATGGAATCAAAAACTACGGAATCCGAATCCAAAATCCTACCAGGCGAAGCTTTACCTGTTATTCTAACTCATTTCAATTTCTCTACCAGGTGTGTCAGTATATTTTTCTGAAACCATTCAGGTGTATCTATATATTTTTCTGAAACGAAAGAAAACATTCTTTAAATAATAACAAACTCTAAATAACATTGAAACGAATCAGAATGAATCGGATTGAAATTGCTGTAGCCTCGCCAGAAAGGCAACGCATCGATTTTGTTATATCGAAAAATATGCCACTCTATAAGGTAATGCAAGCTTACGCGGATTATTATGGGATCAATCGTAGCACCTTAGAGTTCCGTTTACGGGGCCTAAGGGTTCGGAATACTGATACTGCCCGTCTTTTAAATATGCGTGCAAAGGATATTATAACAGTTCAAAATGTTCCGCAACAGGGACACTAAATAAATAAATGATAACTCTCTACAAGAATTTATGTTAATTAATATTGGAAGCCAACAAATCAGACTTTACAAGTTTGAAATGAAGATCCCTTTACTGGAAATACCTTTCCATCACATATCTCTCTCATAAGGACACTGCTTGGGGTATATTTTTTTAAATTTCCTTAAAAAAATCTAACTAAATGTTTTGCAGATGCGTTTAATTCAAGCAGATGACTTCCTGCTCAAGAGCTGCAAAAATATATTATTACAAACATTATACAGTACATTATATACATTATATAAATTTGTTGAATAAAAAATTCTCCCAAGAGAAAAACACACTTTTCCACATCAGAACTTAATCGGTGACACTTTTTTCCCCGCATTATTCTATCAACATTTTTATTTAAAAAAAAAGGTTAAAGGTCCGAATATGGTATTAATTTAAGGCCAAGACCATGGTCAAGGCACACACATGTGTGTATGCTTGGGAACCGCCGCCAAACTGGTCACAACTTGCAACTTACAACTGCCAACTTGCAACCTTTCAACCATTATTCTGGCGCAAAAGTGCAAAGCGTTTTTATGCTGGCGATTATTACGCTTGATCCTGAAGCACCGAAGGGTCAATTGATGTTTGTGATGACGCTGAATTGTGCTGTTGCAACGTCGTACCCACAGCAACATGCAGCAAACATCGGCGAGCAGCATGCAACAACATTGTGGTCGCTTGCCCGCAATTTGCGTTGGAATTTTAAGCATAGACGAATATTCGCCATTTCTTTTATAAGGTTATTTCCAGGGGATAAAAAGAGAACATTAAATTATGCTAAGAAATTTATAAAAAATTATTTAAAGGTTTAAATAAAAATAAAATAAAAGTTTTCAGTTGAAAAAGTGCTGTTCTATACACTTATTTTTTTAAAGAATTTCCAGGCAATTAAGATTTTAATTTATTCATATTATATTTTCTTCTCAAAGCAACAAACATATATTTTTGTTGGAATTTAAAACAAATATTTAATAAGAATATTTTTTAATGGAAAAATGTGCTGTTCCTTAAATCAATATAAGCAATTTAAGTATATTTTCATCTTAAAGCAACACACAGATTTTTGTTAGCTCCTTTTTCTTTTTCAAATTTTTCTCATCCCCCAAAACTTTTGTGGAACAAACCTTATTTTATATTTTGGCTGTTGCATTTCTTGGCTGGCAGCGATAAAGCGTCAGCAGCAATATTCCTTTTGTGCTTCGGCCAGTTTTTGATATATCACTAAGCCAAGATAATGCCCTCTAGCTAAATCGGGCCATCATCAAAAGCCGGCTTTTGATATAGAAATTATTTATAGGCGAACGATGATGATGACGACGACGACGACGATGACGATGGTCGCTTTGGTCTCTTGGTCGCCTGGTCACTCGGCAATCGTAAATCTAAAGATCCTTTTCTTAAAAGCTTAATTCCGAGCAATTATTGTGGGCCAGCTGGGTATGGGATCGCGCTCTTCCTCATATCAAATTTGATGGCCGAGTGGCTGGCTCCTAGCTGCTCCTGCTGCTGCTGTCCAGCGTGTAATTATATTAGCATGATCTATGCCATTACGGCGCACACACATCGATATGCGGCAATTAGTGCTGCGGCCGAACAACAAGTACGACTATCGGTACAAACAATATAGCCAGCGGGCGTTTATGGCCAACGACATGGCCATTATTGACGCCACTCGATGGACTCGATGGACGTTGGCCATCATCGATTGCTGCGGCGGCGGCGTAGGCTCCATGTTGCCGCTGCTGCAAGCTGCGATACTGCTGCTGTCGCCACCGTTGCAGCAGCATGCAAATTGTCGGCGTACTAAGCGGTTTCCAAAGTTTAGAGGGGGGCAGACAGGCTTCAGTGTTGGCCGAAAGAACCTATTTTGAAAGCAGGTCAGGCGGGAAAAAGGCGGAAAAATAGCCTAGGATATGGAAATTCAATACAAAATTTGCCTTGTGTTTCAAATTATAATTTGTATTGCCTTACTTATTTATAATAGATATTTCTTCCTATCGAATTATCAAGTATGTCAAGCAAGAAGCTTAAAAAAATTATTAGTTAGTTATTTAGGATTGATTTTTGAATAATTTTTTTGCCTTAAATAAACAGTTCCTTTAAAAAGGCTGAATCGATCAGCACTATTTTTGGATATAATGGGAGATGGGGAAAATTGTCCAAACTAAACTGAAAAAAAATATAGAGCTCGGAAATGGCGCCCTCTCAGCCGAAAGTCATAAACACGCGCTAATTGCAGCCATGATTTGTTGGGGCTCGCGACAGCAACAACAGCAGGAGCAACATTAGCAGCAACATTTACCCATACCAGGAGCAACATCCACTCAAATCGAAGCCTAATTGCCACTAAATGCCAGTTTTCGTTGGCGACATCAAACGTAAAGCTTTCAGCGTTAAAATGGAAAAAAAAAACGTTCTAGCCTCTCTGATTTATAAACAAAATTTAACAGCCAAACAACACAGGGGAGTTAGGGCATTAAAAATGATGTAGTTGCTCCTGGTGATGCTGATGTTGCTGCTGCTGCTGCCGGCCTGCTACCTCCTGCCCTGCAATTAGGCGCCACTCCTGGCGGGGTGGTCCATGTGTCCATGTCGCCAGTGTGGCGATCGATCCAACGTTCGATATACAAATCGATTGCTTGATCTCTCACTTGCTGGAGCAACTCCAACTGCCAAGGAGCAGCAGCTCGCGTGGTCAGCGCCAATTACTTAGAGCATATCAATTATATTACAGCCAATACATTGTAAAATAAATGCCCAGAATGATAGCCAGTTGCAGTTGCTGCTGCTGGCTGCTGTTTGTAATTGAACTGCGGGTATTGCGAAATTATTATTTTGTGCATTTGCAATTGCAAGTGGATGCATCAGCAGCAGAGGCAGCAGCAGCAGCAGCAGCAAACAGAACCTCTCAACCTTCCATCCTGCGTGTCTGTTCATATGTTTTCATTACTTTTGCCCATTATGCGTGTACGTGACGCACAATTTCAAATTGCCAGAGTCTGCGTTTTAGCCAGGAATCGGTAGTAAAGAGCCAAGGGGGCTAAAAGCAGAGGGCCCTGGTCTCAGGTCTCGGGCTACGGCTCATAAGCCGGATACCCGGCGTCCAAATGCGCACAGTTCCAGCATTGACTTGCAACTCATTGCTCCTGCTCCTGCCTTTCGAGTCAGAGATGCCAGAATTATCGTTATTAAATATAAAATAAATATTTAAATGTATTCAAATAAGAAAGTAATAAATTTTGACAATTAAAAATGGCAATTCCTTCTTTGTTCTTTGGCAAATACAGGTTTTACCCATAAAAACTTATAGTTAAATTATACTTTTTCTTTTGTTTATGTAATATTTTAAAGATTTAGCAACTGTTTCTTTAGAAAATAAATAAATTTATCCTCAAAATAAGGACAGCTCTGATACCATCCATGGATCGTCGTCTGTTTGTGGCTTTTGTTTGCTGTTCAAGTTTACAATTTTAATGCACTGCCACTTGACTGTTGACAGTGGTGCGTTGCTGTTGTTGCTTTTGCTGTTGCTGTTGCCGATGTTGTGCTGCTGTGTGTGTTTTGTGTGTTGTTGGGTTATTGATTTTATGCTGTGTACGTGAACGCAACCTTGCCGGTAGTCGCTGGTGTTGCCGCTGAGCTGCTGCTGCTGCTACATTTAGCTCTCATTTCGCACATGCCTCCCAAAAATGAAAAGCATGTTTATGTTTCCTTCTTTCTGAGGAAGCCATCAACACATGCTGATTCATAGTGTGGAGAGCAATGCTTTAAAGCCGCTTTTAAACCAAGGCTAGGCAAATATCTAGAAGGAAGGTTATACATTATTGAAAGGAATTGAACCCTTTATTTAATAATTCTCAGAACATATATAGTTTTCAAGAAAACAAATATAGATCTCTAGAAATTCAAAATAACAAAAATATCGATATAAAACCCATATAGCCGACACCTATATCCCACCTAGAGATAGGTGACCCAAAACCCCATTAGGGGCCACTTGAAATCGCCCCCCATTAAGGGCATCCTCTGCAATGGTTGGGATTCCTTGGCTGACATCGTTAGGGCGCTACAATTGCTACAATTGCTGAATATGATTGAAGTACTTCGAAGGTAACGAGGCATCAGCAGCCAAAGCCGTGGACATGGCCTCCATATCAAACTGGCATCAAACAATTTCAAATGGATCGAATGAGAAATCGACAGAGCCTGGCCAATTGCTGTTGCAAGTTGCAAGTTGCAACCGATGTTGCTGCTTTGTATGCATGCAATGAACGTGATCGGTTGCAATTTCAGCAACTGGAGAACAAAGTGGCCAAGACTGGTGAGGATCGGAGGTGATTGTACACTCTAAGGAAAATATTATTAAATTCTAATTTTAATAAAGTAATTAAATTGTATATTTTTAAATGTTTTCAAAGTAAAGGAAAAGAAAAAGATGCCTCAGGTTATAAAAACCCTAAAAGGGACGTCGAAATGTAAGCAATACTAATTTGTTGAACCCAAAAAGTATGGTATATTGGTTTCTTTTTTTAATAAAAATATAAATTTTACTAAAATAACCAATTTAATTAAAATTCCGTAGATTCTTTTGAAAAACTACAAAAATATTTACATTAAAATAAATCAAACTTTCTTCAAGGTGTATCTTAGATCGGTGATCAGAGCGACAATGTTGCCGACGCACAGGAGCAACATCAACGACGTGGCTGCAATGTTGCTGCCACTTTTCACCGGGTCCCAGTCCCGATGATTGAAATTCTAAGACCTCAGACTGAATACTGAATCCGAAACTGACTCGAAGTCGAAGACCAAGTCCAAAGTCGTTTGACGCTGACCTTTTCGCATGAGAATCATCGATGATGGATGCACTGCCAGCCAGAGTCAGCTCGATCTGGGCTTCGAAACAGCTGGGAAAACGGGGGAAAAGCATTGGAAAAGCTGCGGATACGGAGTGCGATGTCAGCCGGAGCTGTCAGTACGTGCAGCTCGTCATGGGCAATTTAAGTGCAAGGAAAGTTGGCTTCGATCGATGGTGATTTGTTTTTTTGGGGGAATTCGCACAACTAGTACTTTAAAGTACAACTGAAAACTAATAGCTTAATTAAACTAATTGCTAACTGAGACCCACACATATTGGAAGGATTTCTGTGATTTTTTCCAGCTTTACAGTATCACTTTTCCTATAAGCACATAACCAGCGCCCACTGTACGCACCACGCGATGGATAATTGCGCTCACCCATCGAGGAGGTACAAAAAAAAAATCTGAGAAAAGCAAAGAAAAGTCAAGAAAAGCCAACTTCTTTTGAGTCGTCAATGTTGTCGTTGTTGTCGTTCCATTCCATCGTGGAATTTCACAGCGAAGCATGGAAATTTGTTCGATGGCTTGTCTTTCTGCCTCGCTGCTCCTCCACTCCCTGCACCCCCCACTATTCCTCTCTCCGGCTTGTTTGTTTGATTTGGATTTGATTTGATTTCCAGCCAGAGCAGTTCTACCTTTTACTCCTGCATTCTTCACTCTCTCCTGCCGCCTGCCGCCTGCCTCGCTGGCACCCACCTTCCGGACCTATTCAAATGCTCTCTCACAGTTTCTTGACCTCTCTCTCTGTCTCTCCTGGTCGTCGCCGTGTGACGCAGTCGCAGTTGCAGTTGTAACTGCACATGCGCGCGTCTTGTTCCTGTGCCCCGACTCCTGCTCCTCGCCACGTCCCTTTTCCACCGCCCCCAATTGGCCGTTTGGCAATTTTGCAGCGTTGCACATCCCTCCTCCCCCTGGCCGTTGTTGCTATTGCGGGAAATGCGATTGACGGTAATTGGTTGACGTTTGTCTTATTTAAATTTGTTTTCTTTGTGATTTTTTTTCAACGTCGCTGCTTCTGCTGCTGATTCTTCTGTTGGAGCTACTCCCGCCTGATTCTTGCACGCTCCCATGCTTTGATACCCTTTAGAAGGAGATGTGGGGATAACGTATACGACATGGTTCTTAAAATATTAGGAAACAAATGTTCTTACTTGTTAAAATAGTCTACAGTTTCCTCATAAAACTTTATATATTTTATTTTCAATTTAAAATTTAAGCAATGTTAATATATTCCTCAATTACTGGACACCAGCAATTCGTAACGATTGCTCCACTTCCAGATCCATTTCTCGTTTCCTTTATGGACTTTTCTCAAGCTGTTCCAACTGCTCTTCCAGCACCGTTCTCCTCGGCCTTCCTTTCGCTACTTCCAGTTGGGTCTGTGGCGCGCGGCGTGCAACTTTAATTGAAATGAAATGAGTTTCGTCGATTTGTGTTCTCGGAATTTGTTTTTTGATTGTTTTCTTGTAAATTTGAATGATTATCGAGCCAGTTGCAGCATTTGTTGCAGTTGCAGCAGCAGCAGCAGTTGCGCAATTGCTGTGGCAAAAAGAAGAAGGAAACAAAATAAACAAGCCGACGAGCGGAGCGTAATTGCAGATCACATGGATCAAAGACCCTAGCTTGTGTGTGTGTGTGGTGTGTGTGTGTATGGGAAGGGAAGTTTGCATTTTTCAACTCCACCTCCTCCTTTCTTTCTCATCCTGGGACTCGCTCTGATCGATAGCCGGTACTATCGATAATTGAGCTGCGAGAACTTTTAATTGTGTGTTTGTGTCGCGGAAGCGTTTTCGAACTGGGCCAGAATTTCACAAAGCAAAAGCCAATTTGTTACCGCTATATCGGCCAGGTATCGCTTGCATCGCGATAAAGCCACTGCCGCGCTAAACGTGGCCACTTCCTCGAGTAAATAAACGGATAACATGGTGAAAAAAAACTAAGGTAATTGCTATATTTGGGAATTTATTTGAAACTAATTTTAGATTTGAGATATAAACTCCTATTTACTATATTATTTAACTCTTTATTAAAATGTATATAAATTACCAACTTATATAAGATCCTGTAACATGCATCTCATATAATTTAAGATTTATAATCCCTTTGATTTTCTCTCTGTGCATTGGCCAACGAACCGCGGGAAACCGAAGGAATAGTCAGAGATTGAAACCGAAACTGATGCGTAGTTTAGGGCGATTTACACACAGTTTAAACAGACATCCCAGATACAAATCTCAGGTTTTCCCAAGAGGGGGTGGCATGACGGAGGCGGGAGTGAGGGGCCAGGAGCAACAGACTGAAGGCAGAGCAGCTGCAGGACCAGTCTTCCTGGTGCCATAACTGTAGCAAATGGCCAGGCAACATGCAGGTCTCGAATCTCGGTTCTTGGACTTCTCAACCCGCACCTTAACCTTAACCTTCTGTAACTGCATGTGAGATCTATGACATAAGCTTTTTAAATATATATTGATTAAGGGGGTTTATATTTCAAGATATTTAATATAGAAAAAATGATATATATTTTCTGATTATTCTTTTCCTAATTAAAATTCTTTTTAGAGGAAGTTTATACGTCTTAATCCTGCAACTATTATTTTAACAGAAATTCTGGTTTAATTCTTTTAGTTTTACCCTCCCTATTGCCTTCTATACTCCCTGAAAACCATTAATTATTAACCTGCTTTTAAAACAGGATTTGTAAGGATCTTAAAGGTATATATTTCTGGTTCTCAGAGGGTTAAGCCGACACTAAACTTGCGCCTTGAGAGCTCCAAAGATCTCCGGCGTGGGCGTCTGTTGTGGTTATAAATTGCACATTTGATGAGCAGAGAAACGTTTATGGTTCTCCCCGATCTGCAGTCTCTTCCCAGTCCCCCATTCTTTCCGTTCTACAGAATCTCTTGTCCCGGGGAATCTCTCAGCCTCTGCCTTTTAGCGCTTGCATGCGGCTGATTAATTCTGCCAACGTCATAAACGTGATGATATCGCAATACAAGCGCAATTTTTCATGTTATTCAATTCGTTGCCCCCAGCTCCCAGCAACGTAGCTATGAAGCTCCAAAGCTCCAGTTCCTGCCACAGCTGCAAGTAAAATTTATACACGGGAAGATATATAGTGGAAATTAGTATGAAATGTATTTTAAAATATATATTTTAGAGTTAAGAATTCCCTTTTTGTGTATATGTTGAGAATGTGAAAGAATTCTAATATTTCTTTAAGAGATTCTACTTTCTAATTCATTTTAAAGGTATCGTTAATCTTTATGGAAAGATAAACTTCCCCTAAAAAATAATTAGAATTAAAAAGTAGTTAAGTAATTGAGTTTTTCTATACAAAAACTTTTCATTAATTTAAATATTGTAGTTATATACTTAATTGTTAATATAATATGAATAAAAATTACCTTTAATTTAAGTTAGCTTTTTCAAAATAATTACAATTTCCCTCAGTGTATCATTGCTCTACAATGTATTTGCATATCGCTTTTTTATGCGGCATTACGAAAGACTTAAGCGGCAAACTCGCGTGGCAGCAGTTTCGATATTGCAACTAATTACCAGCATTAACGCAATTTCGTCTTCATAAAGACTCGGTTCCGCATTGCTCCCCCACCAGTCTCCCCCAGAGCCCCCCAGAGCCTCATTGGCACCCCTTTTCAACTCCCTGCTATTGAGATTTAATTCGATTCTTTGCCCAAACGCGGACAGGTGTCTATGAGGCTATAAGGCAGGTGTTTCGGCTCATTGTCTGCCGGCCAGGAAGCATTTGGCATGCGTTCATTTATTTAAACTGAATTTTTTTTTTACGCTTTGCGTCTGCGTTTTCCTATTTTTTGTGTGTTCGAGAAAAACTGCGCAATTTTCATTGATTTTGGTCAGAGCTGGGTTGGGTTGTGCTGCTTGTTGCTGTTGTTATTGCCACCTTTTACGGTTTAGTATTGCAGTGTATTTAGACATGTGAGATCACATTTAATATAATGGGGGATCCGTGTGGGGAATATATAATTTCTATCGATTTGCTTTGAATACTATAGCACGTTTTATGGTTTATCAAAAAAAATGTGGTATTTTATAAAATAAATTTTTGAAATTCTTGAGGCATTTTTGGGAGGTTCTAAATATTTATATCTTATGCATTAATCATCCAAAAATCTTTTAAAATAAATATATATTCTGCAGAAAGTGAGAAAATTTAAAATAAATATTTTTTGAGTGAAGTTTTATGATAAATATGTAAGTTATAAGTCACACACTTCTATGTATTTCATTTGCAGTTGCCTTATATGAGTTATTAAGTTCATTCCAGACCTAAATCAAATCTTTTCAATAGCATATTTCGCACTTTTAATAAATGGGATAATTACCCAGTCCAGTTTCCACTTGCAAATCAGTTTTTTACTTATAAATTATAGGTATTTCCAGTTCCCCAGCGATTCCCCTACTTTTCACCTGTACAGCGTTCACCTGGCCATTGTTTATGGCCAGGTCAGGTAATTATTGAGTCAATTTCCAGGCCGTTAAGCTTTCATTGGATAGTTTTGCTGTCGATGCCGCCCACACACAAGAAATGGAATGCAAAGTCCAAAGCCAAGACAACTTTCAACGATTCGAGATTGTTTTTTTGCATATACATTTATTTTTCTGAGACATTTATTTAGACACAAATACAAGTTATATATTATAGTTATATATATATGTATAATGTAAGTTATATACTCCCTATTTATAGGCCATATAAGCTGGATAATACAACTAAAATGTACATACTAAACGACTAAGACAATGCGATTGCGAGCTGGGGGGTTGGTTTGTCAGGGGGATTTCGCGCGGGGCTCTGAGCAAATTAATTACTAAACAAGAGCTGTTCGTTTATCAACACAGATTTGCACAACATTTAAATTATGAGGAGGAAATTCATTACATTAATTTATAAATTCATTTTAGCTAGATTTAGTTGCTTGTGTGTTGATTCGTTTTTTTTTTTTTTTTTTTGCATAACATTGTCTAAATGATTGATATATGGTTGATTGATAATACATATATTCATATAGTGCTTACTATTAGTTACACTTTTTATCATTTATAAGCTAAGTATCTCGTTTATAGACAACTAATTTTTGTTTATGGAATTTAAGAGTTCGTTTTCCGTTTTGTGAAGTTTGACTGAATCGCTTTAAATGGCTTTTCATTTAATTATAGAAAGTATGGTTCGCAGTAATAATTAAATTAAACATTAAATTAAAATCACAATTTTATAGACTTGATGTGTTGTGTGTGTGTGTGTGTGTGTGTGTATGTGTGTGTGGTTGGTTGTTGTGTAAGCAAAAACAATATAAAGAACAAGATGCGTTAAAGCAACCAACAATTTCCTTAAAAATCGCATGCCGTTACTCATCTTATTCACTATATTGTCCTTGTTATAACTGCATGTGTGTGTGTGCTGGCAGCATTTATTTGTATTTTTTTTGGGGATCCATCCATTAAAAATATTCTCTTTAAATATTTTTATTTTTGTCATCCTTCTTTGCTCTCTCTATAAATCTCTCTACAATTCTGGGCATAGCAGGGAAAGGCACAATTCAATGTTAATTAAAATTGCTGCTGCAAGCTAAACGGTGAAAGCTGCAAGAAAATAATAAAAAAAAACAAAGACGAAGAACTCTATTAGTTTGTTGGCTTAGTCTGCACGAATTTAATAAGCGGAAAAACAATCAAAACGCAGCACGATTTGCATGGCCATTCAACTCCCACTCCCACCTCCCATTCCAAACTCACCTGCAGGAACACACACAGCGTGCCGGATATTTAAGTTGCTCTTCTTTTTTTTATTTGTGGCTTATTTTGTTTCAGTTTTCCTCTGTTACTGTCTCTGTCTGTATTTGTTGTTGTTGTTATTGTGTTTGTTGTTGTTGTTGTTGTGGGGGTCGATGGCAGCTAGAAACGAGTTGGCAACTCATCCTCATTATCCTCTTTCTCCTCCTCATCGTCATCATTGGTGATCATCATGGGTGCCACTTGCTCGTCCTGAAGTCAAATCCACATCCATCCTACAGATACAGCGTCGCCTGCTGCCGTTGGTCAAAGTGATGGATGTAGAGCTTCTTCTTTGACTTCTCCTTCGACGGCCGCAGATCCCACACCAGGTTGGACAGACTCCTCGGCCGGGACAGGCGGCGGGTCTTCTTCTCGGGCAGCTTGTTCGAGTCCCCGGATGTCCGTCCGCCGCTGCGCGATGAGTCCAGGGTGCCCTCACGTGGATTGTGATGATTGTTGCTGCTGGAACTCCGACTATGGGGCAGGGGCAGTGGCAGGGGCAAAGGATGCGGTGTCGACAGGTAGCCGTGGACATTGAGAATGCTACCGCACTTGAGCACCACATCGGGTGGTGTGCCCGGCGTGGCAGGGGTTCCATTAGCTCCAACTCCTGGTCCTGTTCCCGGTCCTACTCCTGTTGCGGATGACTTGCCGTGGGCTGAGATCGTCGGCGGCGTCACGGAGGAGCAGTTGTTGTTGTCCGGCGTCAGCTGTAGGCTGCTGAGACTCTTGTACCTTGGGTAAATAAATTAATAAAAAAATTTTTATATGTTAAAAATGTTGAAGGAAATATTTAATTTAATATTTCTTAATAGCAACCTCCCTAATAGGACCTCTAAATTTATATTTCCTAAATTATTTAACTCTTAAAGAAAGAAATCTAAACTAGAAAGTTAATGTTGTTTTTAAAGACAGCTTCTTAAGAGGCATCGCTATATAAGCTTTGAAAATAAATCTTTTATACATTTGCATATGGCAAAACTTTGCAAAACGTTTTGTTTAAATTAGCATTTCATGTTTTTAATAGAAAAAGATAGTTCCCAAAGAGCGTAAAAAGAAAAGATCTCACATTCTTCAAGTCTATTTAAGGTGTTACGGCTATGATTTGCAGAGGTTACAAATATTTATCGAAAAAAAAGTCCGGGAAAAGACTGATATATAAAAATATCTCTCACAATATAATATTACAACTTTTGTAAACTTTCTTATATCCATTTTTTTTAAATTGATAATTATATAGATGTGGAATCTTTTTTTGATATTAATACTCCTATATATAAAAGTGAAAATAGAACGTTTAAATATCGATTTTTATATCGAATTTCGCTTTCAAAAATGATATTTCTTTATTTTCGGATAGCCCAATTTTAACTTCTCAAAATAAGTTCTTGTAGACCCTTTATCTTGATTTTTAAATATTTAAGAATAGTCCTAGATGTGTCCTTAACTATCTAAGATTTGTTTCTATCTCTCTCTCTCTTCATTTTCATTAATTTTCCCTAAAAGGACCTCCTTACCTGATGTGAAACAGCGGCGACTGCGGCTCCAGTGCCTGTTCCTTGCTCGGCAGATGATTGTTGGGCGTCAGCACCTTGCCATGATGGGGATGCGGATGTGGATGCGGATGCGAACCATGGGAGGCGTGATGAGCAGCTGCCACAGCGGCTGCCGCTGCATTGGCCACCGCGTTGGCTGTATTCCCATTGGGAGTTGGCGGCTGCTGACTGTGACTGTTGTGGGTGGTGTGGATATGACTGTGACTATGGCTGTGACTGTGACTGTGACTGTGCGTGTGACTGTGACTGGTGCCCGTGGAGTTGCCATTGCTGCTGCTCCCAGCACTGTGGGCATTCTTGATGTAAAGCTTTGGTAGAGTGGGACGCTGGCGCTTCTCGGCCGGCTTCTTGCCGGGTATCGTCTCGATGGGCGGCGGCACCGGCTTGATGTCCTCTTGAATATGGCCATGATGGTAGTGGTTAACCAGATGATGGTGGTGGTGATGACCAGTATGACCACCACTACTGCTGTGCTTGTTTGACTCCAGGCTGCTGTAGTTGTTGTTACCCGAGGTGGTGGCCTGCTGCTGCTGCTGGCCGGGATGCACTGGCGCCCGGATCAGACTGCAGTAGTTGCCACTGCCGCTGTCCGTGTGATGGGAGCGCAGCGTGGGCGACTCGCAGATGGGCTCGAACCGGGCCAAGCCCTTCGAGAGCGGCGTAAGACCGCGCACATAATCATAGATATGATCGATCTCGTTATACTCCTCGGCAATCTCGCTGCTGCTCAGTGCCTGCTGCTGCTGCTTTGACCAGGAGTCGCAGGAGGCACTCTTGCGCAGCACATAGCCACTCTCCGCCAAGCCACTGGCCACGCCCGCCGCCGAGGGCAGCATCACCACAGGCAGGCGTCCTCCGCCACCGCCATTGCGACTGCTGAACTTGGAGTCCTTCTTCTCCTTCTCGCTCAGCTTGAGATCCACGATCTGGAGGCGATCGCGTGCATCCGCCAGCAGGCGCTGGGCCTTGTCCAGAAAGCGTGTGTACTCGATAAAGTGCTCCAGCTGCTCCATGTTCTTGGCCCGCTGCAGCTTGATCTTGGCATTGAGGGGCACTGGCACCAGATCCGTGTCCTTTTGCAGTGGCAAAGCGAAGATCCTGTCGATCTCCACGCAGCCAAGGAGGCGGAGTTCAGGGACAAAGGGTTGCTTCAAGCCCTTGGGCGCACTGCCGTGGACGAGTCTGGGGAAGTGAACAGATTGGGGATTAAGGATTAAGGTTAGCACTTTATTCTCCTAAATTCTGTAAGGACTATATATATTTTCCTGCAACTTATAGATCTCTTAATCCTAGAACTCACCTCACTATGACCGGCATCCTTTTGAGCAGGAGATTCTTGACGGTGTGCACACCGCTGATGCTGTCCTCGCGTGCAATGGGCGAGAACTTGGCTTTGGTATCGAGTGGCAGATTGATGATCTCGTCCTTGATGTTCCGACACTGCAGGTACTTCCCGTTGTCGTTCATGGTGGTCAGCAGTTCACCGGCATGAATGGTTCGGTTCATTTGCTGGCAGCGAAAGGTCTCGCGGACAAGGACACGGGCATTCCTTCGGCGTGACAACTCCAGGACCGAGTCAATGCATCGCGTGGAGCGACCGTCCTCGCTGAGGAGCTCGAAATAGCCGCCATAGGTCTCTGGGATGAGGACCTTAGCACCCACATTCGTAGGCTTACGTCCCTCCTTGATCTTGATGGGTTGCGCCAGGATTTGATATTTTTTGCCGGCGCTCAGAAACAGAGCGGTGCTCTGGAGCGACGGCGCCGAAAGGGTGGGCACCCCAAGGGCCTGGTGCTGGCCCTTGAGGATCTTGGCCACCGCCGGCAGCGGCTGCTTGGAGAAGTCGCGCAGGTAGACGGGCGTGGCATCGCCGAAGCGGGAGGCGGCCAGTATGATTTGGCCATCGGTGGCGGCCATGTCGCGGTTGAAGAACGAGAGCAGCTTGCTGCGCGCCAGTTGCACATTAAATGAGAGTAAGTTTCATTGGACTGGCTGCGGATGCAGCTGCTCCCCGCCGACGGCGCCCTGTTCGCTGTCCAACTCTAGGTCCGACGAATCCTTATCGTCCTCCTCCTGCTGCTGCTGCTCTTCGTCCTCTGCCTCCTCCTGGTTGCAGTTAATCTGATCCTCGAGGGCCCGACGCTTGGCCAGCTCACGGTGGCGCAACCTCAGCAGCTGGGCGCCGCGACTGCAGCAGGCGTGCTTGATCTCCTCCTCCACTCCGGTCGTCGTTTGGCCGGGATACAGATCCTGGTTGTGATGGCCCTGGTACGTCAGCAGTCGCGTGGATGTCTGCAGTGCGTAGTTGAGATACTGCATTCGGTTCGATTTCCTACTCCTCCGCTGGCCACAGTGTGCGAATCGAGGGGGTGTTCTTGTCGTCCTGTTTCCTGTGTTGGCTTTGCCAGTCGGTAAGCTTAGCCCCGGGTAGAGTGGAGTTTAGTCCTTTGTCCTGCAAACAAAAATGAGATAAAATAAGGGGGAGATTAATACGAGACTGGTAACCACGGGGATAAATAGTTGAAAATGTACAAAAAATAGTTTTGCAAAAAGCTGCAGGTATGCACAACTTTGATGCTTAAATGTAAGTAATATGTTTGGGAATAGTATAGACTTTTGAATACCTTATAAAATATTTGAAATATATATCAAAAAGACCTCCAAAAGTAAGCTAAGTAATGTTAAATAGTAAACAAACTAAGAATTACTATTAAGTTGTCAGTGTAAACATTTCAAAACATTCTTAAAACACTTTTTAAAGTCATCTTTAACCATTTCTGAGGCCGAATTATAAACGTATTTTCAAACCTCTGAATCTTAAATTAGTAACTTAATCCAATTTAAAAAGTAAACAAAAAATAGGGGACGAACTTACTCCTAAACTCATCACAAACACACCTCTTGCTACCCAGTAGACATTAGGTAAATGAAATGTTGGCTACAAATTTACTATCCTGTTTTCCCCCCTCAACCTTTTTTCCTATTCGAAGTTGAAATATTTCCGTGTCCACAGATCAGCTCTTCAAGTTCTCACACTCACACTGAGGGGGATATAGTATAGTATCCCCAGGTATAGTGGTGTGGTATGCTTATAGCGATACACCGACAGGGTGTTATTTATGAGGGCCATAAAGTAGGGAAGAGAAGACTTTAACTGAAGAAATGGCAAAGTGCACAAAATGAAAATGCAAGCTGCAGGGCAACCCAACCAAGGTGCATATAGAATATAGACAAGACGGCCAAGACGACTCTCTGCGACAATGCCAAACATGCCATTAACAAAAGCGTAGAGCTGGGCGGAGGGACTGGACCCAAGGAGGACATGGCAACACAACAGTCGGCGGCGGCGGACCAACAAATGGCAAGACATTAAAAGTACTTAAAGGATATTTGCATATTTTATGGCCAAACATAAATGCGGCTGATTACGAGACGTCGTGAAGTGGGAGGTTTGGCATTGGCTTGGCAGTGTTGCCAAAACTATGGGGTGACAGAAAGTACATAGCTATAACTTTATGGGTTGTAAATAAGTAAGAAAATATAGAGAAATGAAAGCCGAAACTTGTATACTCTTGGAGGGTTGTCATGACTTTGAATCTAGTTGTTGTTGATAATAAGATTATTCCATAGAGTTCTCAGTGAAGGTTTTTAGAGCATTTTCTAGGGTTCACAAAACTATGAACAAAATTTTATAAATTCTTAAGAAATTAATTTATAAAATCCCCTTATTTTATAATTTCTGAAAAGCTAGATTTTAAATGTTATGGCTTTTTAAATTCACTTTAAAATATGTCATAAAGTCTGCCGTAAAAATGTATTTTCATTTGAAATTATATTTCTTTTGTTGGATCTTTAAAATCTTCTGAAAAATGTTTCAAAATTAAGTACTTCTTCGTATTTAACTCAAAATTTAAGCCATTTTGTCAACACTGATGGCTTGTTGCCAGTTTTAACCATTTGCAAGGGGCTTTTGGGGCATGTCTGGAAATGAAAATCGAGTGTGTGATATTTCACTTCACTAAATTAGTTGGCAATTAGCAAAGTGACCGCACCTGCTGCTGCTGCTGCTGCTGTTGTTGCTGCTCCTATTGCTGCTGATTCTCCCTGCCAATTTACCAAAGCGTCGCATCCATCTTTAATTGCTTTCCTATTTCGAATTGGAGCATGTCTGACTTCCCAGTAGAAGCTACAAACATATATATAGTCAGAAGGTAACATCGGTTTGGGCCATAAAGAGTAAGCTCATAAAGCATTTAACGAGCCCTGAGGGAGGTGGCCAGGCTTCGGCATCTGCGCTTATTATTGGGACATAGACCATGCATTACCCATTAAATCGTTTTCCCAGTCTGTGCCGAGGCATGCTAAAACTTTAATTGATTTTTTAGTGGCAAAACGAGGGAGCAACTTTGTTTTTTTTTTGGGGATTATTGGCTGAAACAACCTTTGGAAAGTACCTTTTCCTGGTTGGCGGGAAAACAACACACACATATACAAGAGGATGCTAAGGAGAGCGACTGACGGACTGACTGACTCTGACTGAACTGAGTTGGCAATTCTCACGCTCAACGTGGCCGAAAGCCTTTGTAACTTATGTGGAAACGTGACATTTTCTCGGCTACTGGACAAAAATTGATGCCGCTGGAGAGGATTGGTCCAGCATTGGCAATGGTTAAGACTGAGCCTGCTGCAACTGTCTTGTTTCCTGGCCTCCGTGTACGTGTCTGGATTTTTTCTCTGGTTTTTATTGCGGCTTCTCTCGGGCTGCTGGCTCTTTTTTCTGTGCTGCTGCTGCTGCTGTACTGCTTTTGATGTCACACAATGACACAGTTTTTCACGTGCAGAGCGCTCGTAATTTGTATTTGGCCCCGTCCTGGTCTTCGTCTTGATCTCTCATCGAAAATGTCTTAATTAATTTGCGCTGGAAAGTGGCACAAAAGCAGCTGCTGCAGGGATCCCATCCTCACACAACAAAAAAGTAAGGCTAAAATATATATATATATATACTTGTACTTGTAAAAACCCGAAGAAACTGACTTAATTTATGACTGACGCAAGATGACTTGGCATGAAGCCCCACAAAAGGGTTTATGATTATTATTTTTTTTTCTTATATTTTTTTGCTCTCGGTTCTGTTCTGTTTTTGCTGAATCCTTTTCAACATCCTGTCTGGTGTTGCCTGTTGCTATTTGTTGCCGCTGTTTCCTGTTCCGCCGCCCCCAGAAAAAGAAAAAAAAACACTTGAGCAAATGAAGCCCCCAAAGAGTCAATATGGCGCAAGAGGGTAGTGATTATGCACACACACTACGTACACTACGTACACTACGCATACTTCATATGCTTATGAAAAAATATGTAACCCAAGACGAAGCTCGAGCACATAATAAGATATGCAGTGCACACGAAATGTAAAAAATAAAAATAAAAAACGGAACCAAAGGCAACAGGAACGAAACGGAAAGCTTTAAGTTTGAAAAAAGAGTAAAGGAAAGGGAATCTGCAGGGAATAGAAGACTGAGAAATGCTCTTGAAGGGTTTATTAATATTAATTTATTGTTTTTTATAACTTGAAGGATTTTTATATTAAATCATGGGGAATTTTTCAAATATTTCATGTAGGAAATATACGAATTTTAAAAGTACTTCATACACTTTTTGGGAAATATATTAAATTATATAGTAAGAACTCTATTTTTAAGGGTTAATATAAAGTTGAGATGTTTTCAAAAATTTTTTCAAACTTTCAAAAAAATTAAATTAATTAATTTATTTTATTTGAAAATTTTTAAATCAATATTTTTAAATTTTAATATTTTCTTTAAGTAATAAGAAGAATAAATAAGCCTTCTTTTTTAGGACTTTAAAACTTGCAAAATAAATAGATTTAATTTATTTTAATATTTAAATAAATATTTTTTTATAAAAAAGTGAAACAACCTTAACATTATAATTTTTAAAAAATATTTTCAAGGCTTTTAATCTTTTCAAATAGTTTATTTACTTTATTTAATTATTTATTTATTTATGTTTTTAGCTCTGAAAATAATCAACACAATTTAGATTCCTAAATTCTTAATTTTTAAAGTCCTAATTTTTTATTTTAAGAACTAAATATTAAGATACATACAACTTAAGTATCCCCAAGCTTAAAAACATAATTTTTAAGCTCTTCCTGCGCTTGCGAAAATTCCTGCAAAATAAGTGAGCATTTAAGTTTCTACTTTTGAATATGGCCCAAACCGAAGCGTATCCTTTCTTGCTACCCTTTCGGCGCTGGCAAAAAAAAGCAGGCAAGTGCGATAAAAGCCACGTCAAAAGGATTAGGGCACACAGCCTGCCCGTGTGTGTGTGTGTGTGTGTGAAGAGCGTGTGTAAACAGAAAATGTGTGCGCACCAAGGTGTGGGTGGCTGGGCTTTTGTTTGTCCCAACAAAAGCAGAAACTAGCAAAAATGTAAGGAAAAAAATACAAGAAAAAATATAAGGAAAAAAATATATGCTAAAAAAAATATGGTTAGGCGAAGAAGTATAAGAAGAATAAGAAAAAGGAGTGCAAGGAAAAAGGAAAAGTGTAAGGAGCACGACCTGCTTGTAAGGCAAAGAGCTCATAAAAGGAAACACACCAGCGAGTGTGTGTGTGTGTGTGTGTGTGTGTGTGTGTGTGGCACATTAATCACACTAAAGAGTTCTACAAAATGCAACTCAACGCGACTCGCAGAGCCAAAGCCAAAAGTTGTAGCCAGGCTGGGCTGTTGTTGTAGTTGTAATGACGGTGTAGTTGCGGCAGTGCAGTTGTTGTTGTCACCACTTTAAGCCGCGGCTTAAAAATCCCGCCCGGACGTCTCGCAAGCGGCTTACAGAGAGAGCGCGCTGAGCTTAGGCGGCATAAGAATCCGCATCGTCCGCCAACGCCAACACTTGACGCTGTCCTCCGCTTCACTCCACATATCCCTCATCCACTTGGTCTTGGATACAGTGGAGCCTCTTTGGGTTAACATATTTTTCGGGGAAAAAATGAGTATATAAATAAGGGGAATTTCTGGGAAATATTAATTGAAGAATAATTAAGGGAACATTTCGGAGAATTAAGGGGAAATCTTTTTGGTTTAAAGAAAATATTTTTAGCTTTAAATAAAGATTTTCTAGTTTATATTATGAGTGCTTAAGTTTCTTATAAAGAGTTAAATAAATAAAAACAAATTAAAAGACAACTGGAATCTTTAAGAAAACTACTTATTTAAGTTATTTTTCATAATTTTCTACTATTTATTGATTTTAAAATCTATATTTCAATACAAAATTTAATATATTTATTCTTTTACTTTTATTTTTATATATTTAAATTATAAAGCCACAGATTCTATACCTTTTTGTATATTGTCTAAATAAAATACCCCTTAAATTAAACTAGAAAAAATTATAAACTTAATTTAAATATATTTTTAGATAACAATTAATTATCTTATAAAGAAAAAAACTCTTCTTACAACCACTTTTACATTTTTCAACTTTCAAACCATAAAATTCCAATATTCTTATTTACTTTAAAATTGAATATATTTAAAATTATATTTAAAAAAATTAAAATACACCTATTAATAAATTTCAGAAATACTCAACCTAATTTTAAGTATTTTTCCCATATTATATAGTTACTAAAATAACTTTTATGCTTATCCCCCCTGTACTGCTCAAATATAAATGCAATATTCCTGCCACGGCGACGCTTTTTGTGCTTGGTTTTCTTTATTTGATTTCATTTCCTCTTTGTCAAGCGCTTTTTTTCCCCCATCTTCTGCTGAAGGAAAGAAACACCTTCAGCCTCTCAGTACATCCCGATCCCGCACTCCTTACAGAGATCTCCTCTTACCCCCTTACTGCCTTCTCAGTTGCCTTATTATGTCGTTCTTAGCACTTTTGATTACTTTTTATCCGCTTTTGGCCGCGGGTTTCATAGCTCACAGCTTTTTGCTTTTGTTTGCTGTTGCTGTAGCTTATATACATATATCCCTATCCCAATCCCTATCCCTATATCTCTACCCTATATCCTCTTTGCCGCCTTCCCCCCAAACACTTGGTGTGACTAATGACGTTGTGGACCATGGCGTTTGTTTAGTCCCCAGCCAGAAACCCCATCCCCTTGGCCTGGCCGTGATGTAAATAAATGAAATAATATTCTTTGGCTGTTGTCCCGCCATGAAAAATTAACGCTGACCACTCTTGACTTCGTTTTTTTTTGTCGGTTTTCGTGGCTATTTTTTTGGTTTATCTCTTTTGGTTTTCTCACTGCGGACAGTTTGGATTTTTGCTTTCATTTGTCAAGTGGCGCTGAAACGGAGGGGAAATACTCTATAAAAGGTAGGGGATTTAGGGGTATAATCTTATAAGTATTTAGATTAAGGTTTAAGAAGAAAATGTTTATGGTTTTATATATTTAATTTTGTTTTTAGATTGATATGCAAACTTTATTCTTCAGTAAAAACAAAAGAAATAGAAATAGAATAGAAAAAACAAAAGAATGAGAAAGAATTCTTAAAAGGTAAGTTTGATATTCATTTTTGTACTTTAAACTCTTCAAAAATATTTTGATATCATAGATATATTATTGAGAAGATTAAAAGTATTTTAAAGAGTATCCACCCCTCCGGTTTTGAAAATAAGCAAACCTCTTTTCTGAAATTCATTTACTTTATCACAATGAAGAGGAAATAAAACCGTGTTCGCAATGGCAAGTGGAAAAGTTTGTTTGCTCAAGCTGCTGTTATTTGAAAAGCATTAATCACATCACATAAAAATTCCTTCAGCTTAACTCGGGGAAAAAGAACAAGATAAATAGCGCATAAATAGATTTTTCCCCCCTCTGTCGTAGATATATAGATCGAAATCAATGACGGAAGTTCTACCAAAAATAGTAAAATGATTAAATTGGAATAACCCAAACCCATTGGCATTACATGTTTCCCCCCTTTCGAAGGTAAACCCAATGAAATAATCATATTCCAGGGTCAGCTTTTCGATTCAGGGCGCTATAAAAAATCGCACAAAACTCTGGGAGAATACCTATGCGAAACTTGTATGTAAATAATATTGCTTTGTTTTCCATGTTTTTTTTTTTATTCGCGTTGTGAGTGACAAATGTGGCTCAATGTAATGGGTGTTTTTTTTTGTGTATGAGAAGTGCCTTGCATGAAAATAAGTGTAAGATTGCTTTTTGAGGAGAATAATGATGAAGTTTTGAAGGAGGAATTAAATGGAGAGGAAACTGAAGTAGGGGACAATTACATTTGTAAGGAATTTTATTAAGATATGGTTTTTTAAACTGATATATGGTTTCAAATTAATAGAATTAGCATATGTAGAGCTAGGAAAACATGCCTGTTTTTTATTATTTTTTTATTCCTTAAGATGAATCATCACTTTTATCTCAAAATATTTTAGAAAACCAACCTCTTTTTTGCTGCAGATTTTATTTATATATTTTTAATGCCTTCTTTAAGGAACACTTAATGTCTAATGGCTGCTTTATCGAAGGCTGTGCCTTCTAGGAAACTCAAACTTTTAACGGCCGCAAAAACCCATTGAAATATACCTCTATGTATATATATATATAAATAGATATTTGAGTTGATGCCAAAAAATGAACAATCGGTGGTTGAGTCGCGCCCAATTCCCCCGATTAATAACCATTGGCAGCGGGGGCAGACATCAAATCCGAATCCGAATCAAAAATCAAAAGCAATTAAAATGCAAAGCCAGAGTCTCTCGTCTCATAGGGTAGAAATGTGTTATTTTTTTTTTATGTTTCTTTACAGTGACGTTGATGAGGAGTTGCCCCCGCTGATGAGTAGATATTTTTTAGGATGTCGACATGCTTACTAATCACCACAACAACAAAAATGTAAAAAAATATATATATACAAAGACTGGGAAAGAACCAAAAAGAGAACTTGTCATCCGTTGGGTTCTCCTTTATTAATCACGTTCTGAATGCACAATCAAGTGAGACGATGGGGGATCGGGGGTCTTGGGGTTCGGGATCGGTGGCTATAAATGTCTTCTGGGAGACAGGAAATCGAAACCGAAATGCAACATATATGGTTCGATATAGCCGCTCGTTAAAGAACCGTTGGTAGTAACCAAAATGTTCATTGAGCATTGAATGTTTGACTTTAATTTATGCTGCGACCGTTTATTGTTTGCATATTCTTTTGCCCTGACACTTTTCTTGGTTCTTTTCTTATATCTTTTTCTTTGATATTTTCCTTTATGTTTTTCTGGTTTCTTCCGATAGCAATGAAAGTTTATTTTTTGTTGTTTGTAAAAGGGAAATCCCTTTTTTGGGCTAGGCTACAGCTACGTCTTAGTTTTTAACCATTTTTCTTCCAGTTTTTTGGGTTGGGCTATCCATCCATCCCGACGACCATCCTCTCTATTGACCCAGAAAATGAAATACAATAAGAAAATGTTGCGCCCGCCTGTTATTTTCTGTTACTTTTCTGTTGTTTGTAAGTGAAATTTTTGAAAAACTCTCAACTCTATCGGTTAAATAGTGTCTTTCGAAGATGTGTTTTCCATGCGTTGGCGTTGACTGATGGGAAAAGTCGTTTTAAGACTGGGCCAAGAGGGGGGCCTTGGAGGGTAGGCAGACATCGGCATTAAGTTGTCAGCTGCAATCTCCTCTAATGAAACCGATAATGAATGGCTTAATAGATCTTTCCTAAGGAGGGTACTTTGAGGAGGCGAAGGTTTATGGAAATTGTTGTCAGGGAAAGTATTAATTATGCCCAAGAAGTTCTCACAATTGTTGGGGAAGTGTAATGAATAGTTGGTAATTGTTTTTGGAAGGTTTTCTTTAAAGGGTTTTATAAAGAAAATAATATTTAAGAATTATATTAATTACAATTATTCGTTTGAAGGTTTTTTAATTAGAATTAATTTAGTTTCTAAAGTGATGTAATTCTCTAAATGTCTTTAGTAATTAAAAATTATTTTAAAACTTGATAAGAATAGTAATTTACTTAAAAACACCTAATTAAATAATAGGAATATATTTTAAATGTAAAAGAAAAATAAGAAGAATTCCTTGAGTTATTTTTAGTAATTTCTTTACACAATGTAAAATTATGTATTCATTTAAAAGCTGCTTTCCTTTTGCTTACTTTAAACACACAAAAGTCTTACTAATTAAATTTTAATATATAATTAAGATTAAAATGCAAATGCAAGCCCAAAACAATCATTAACAATCAACAAGTTAAGTAACTTTATAACAAACCGAACACGAATTTCTGGGGATATATTACCGCACTCATAAGACCTTCCGGCTTCCCCCCAGCCCCAAGTGACCCCATTTCGTCAAACCCAAAAATCGATTACATCTACTCTTTTTCCCAAAACTGAAATCTAATTCACCGATCAGTAATTATGTGACATTCATTGGGAAGCTCAACAACAGAAAAAAGGCCACAAACACTTTATTAATATCCGATATTTAACCCAATTTCTAGAGCATGACGCTAATTGTATTTTAAATATTATTTGCTCACCTTCTGCTCCACAAAAATAAAATATACAATAAAAAATCCAGAAAAAATCCAAACAGAAATCCACAAATTTGCCGTTAAGTTAACACTCTTTTTTTTTATTTTTGTTGGAAATCAATTAACACGCACGCTTGGCAGCTTCTCAACTCTCTTTTCTATTTGCTTTCGCAAGTATTTCGTAATATTTTCTTTTTTTTTCTCAACTGTGTGGAAATTTCTTTTTGCACAAAGAATTTTTACTTTCACGCTGTGACGAAACCCGAGGAGATATATATATATATTATTTTTTTATCCAAACACTATAGAAATTTGCATAAAAAACGAAACGATGATCAAACGCGCGCAGCTCAAGAAAAATCTCGCGTGGGTCGACAGCGCACGCGCACAATATCTTAAGCTCGGCTCGCAAAGTCTTTATTTATTTTGTTGTTGTTTTTTTTTTTCTTCATATAGACTTTATTGTATAGATTCTGAGCTGATCGGAGATCGCGTGGGTAACCGGACCGGTCGGAGCGACGAGCTCCAAGCTAATGAAAAGCCGAAGTTCTGGGATCCCGAGTTGAGTGGCCAGAACGCAGCCGGCGTCGACGTCGCTGTTAAGTGGCTGCGAGTTAACAGGGCTATGTTAAACCGGTCCAGTACGCACACACATACTGTATATATGTATATGTGTATGTGTACACTGGGAGAAATAAGTGATTATTAAGGTGATGCGTAGGAAGAGTTTAAATGTTTTAAGAAGCATTTCATGTGACTTTTTGGAACACTTTCTTGAAGATTTTAAAGTTTTAAAATTGAAAAATAATGTTTTTACAGTTAATTTAAGTTCAAAAAACTATATTTTAGTTATATTGTCATAAAACTTTAACCAAAATAACTTATAAAATCATGAAAGCTTTAATTTACCTAAGTTATAATCATAATTCTTATTTTTCAGGTCTAAAACAAAAAAGAAAATTATTCTAAAATATATTTATAATATTTTCTTAATCATAAATATATAAAAAAAATATAAAGAATATTTGCACAAATTAATATAAAGTCACTATTCTCATTTTTAGGATGAAAATACCTCATCGATGGAGCTTAAAGTATACTCTGCAATATTTGAAAAACTATATAGTTTTCCCCTTTTCTCTTGGTGTATTTACTTTGGCCTATGTTTTTTTTTTGTTCTTTACCATCTCCCGCTTTGTTTTGGGCTCTAATTTCTAAGCAAACCCTGGCGGTGACGACGGTGAGAGATTCGAGATTTCGGGATTCGGGAAACGAGAGATTCCCTCAGATAAACAGGCAAACAGTTGTTTAATAGTTTTCTTTTGAATTTTCGAGCATTTTTATGTGGCTGCTGGTCGTTTGATTTGTTTGCCAAGAAATGCGACTCGACTCTCCTTTTGGGTTTTAGGTTTTTGTTAGCAGGTATTTAAGTTTCATTAACATTTCGTTCTCGTTTGGCTGAGAGAGTGTCTCTGGTTGCCGAAAGAAAGGTCTGTGTCACCTTAATATGCCTGCTCTTTGTGTGTGGTGCGTGTGAATTTTTTATGGTTCATTAAAATTAAAAGCAGAGCTTTGCTTGGCTTGGTTTTTTTTGTTTGTAGTTTATTTATAGCGGCAGATTGGCAGGGGGAAATGAGCTAAAGACCAGCGACTGTGGGAGATTCTTAGTCGAGGCAATGAACTTGCCTTTCTGTAATGCAGGCTAAAAAAGAAATATCTGCCAATTTCTGCGGGAAAAGCCATGAACAAACTGTCACAGACATGATTTACGACAAGTAAACTTTAGAATATTCAATCACACACACACACACACAGCACTTGGGTTAGCCGGCATAAAAAACCTTTCAAAATGCCGCAAGGCCAAAGCCATCAAAAAGACCCATAAAAAAAGGCAGGCAAAGCATGAAATATGAGCACAAATTATGAACAGACATCACGTCAAAGGATTAACAAGACCGAAAAATACAAAAATATATATATATATATAAAGAACTCTGGCAGATTTCAAGGAAGTCAGTCTTGGTCGTCCAACGTCCATCAGAGGTTCGATAAAAATCTAACAAAGTTTTACCTTTTCGCTGGGCGCGTTAAATGGTCAACACCCATTCGCGCTGAAGGGCCGTCGTTTGAAGTCAGTGCTTAAAATGCAGATTATGTGCGTTGATTAAATATTGTTTTTTAATTTCTTGGCAGTGGCCATAGCCGTTAGGCATTTAAAATGCAAGGGCGTGTGGGAAATGCATAGGAAAAGATTTGATTTGATGTGGTATCATATTAAAAATGCCCATCACGTTGAGCTGCATAATAAAAAGAAAACATATAGGAAAAAATATACGGAAAAAGATTAAAAAGAGAAGGGGTAGGTGTGGTTCTTATCAGCGCGCAAGTTCGTTGCCTGAGTCTTTCGTTTTTCATAACGCTTTATCAGCGCTCTCGCAAGTTCGTGGTCTGAGTCTTTTGTTATCAGCTCTGTGGAAATCGCTTATAACGGTCAAAGCGGGGCATTTATCAGGAAACTGTTTGTGTTTCTTCTGGCAGAAGATTTGCATAAGACACTGCATACAATAAATCTTCGCCTTTGTGCGTGCGCCAATTCTGCGAGCAGCAACCCACACACACTTGCTTGCCAGATCATCTCGAAGCCACTCCGAACCACTCATGCAAATGAAGCTAAAATTAGCTGCAACTTTTGTTAGGCTCCAGTGACTCCTCTCTCCTCAGCTTGCACTTTTTTGTCGTTCGTCTCAGCATTTTTTTTCTTGTTTTATTTTTCTGTTTTATTTCATTTCTGTTTTAAGTTTTGAACGCAGGCTGCCTTTCTTTGGAAAGCTTGTGTCCGCCCGGCTGATTGATTGCCTGAGATGCAGATGCGGGCTGGGCCGGAGTTGGGTTTGGGCCTGGAACTCAGACTGGTACTGGGTCTTCCCTGAACTGGCCACTCCACTGTGCGGGCTTAACCTTTGTGCACTCTCTTCCTCCCTGCCAGGTTTTTTTTTTCTTCGTTCGGTCTTTGCTTTACATTTGACTGCCGACTGCCTGGCTCGGCTTGGCTCTTTGAATTTTACGCTTAATTTGGCTTTGATTGATGTTTTAGCGTTTGATTCATACGAAAAGTTAGTTAGTGCGGCGGCGGTTCACTGAACCTGACAGTTGCAGTGGTCAAGAGGAGGTTGATTGAAGAGTTTATAAGATATTAGAGGAAGTGGGTTATAAGAAAAGCTTGAAACTTTGATTAGTCAATTATTTTTGTTTAAGGTTTTTAAAGACAATGTTTGAAAAATATTTTAAAATATTTTGTAAGCCTTTGAATATTTTATTTTATATTTTTAGAATTTATAAACAACCTTTTTCTATGTCTTTTTAAATACCAAACTACCAAAATATTTACTTTAAAAAATTATTATCATAAAATAAATAAAGACATATTCAAAATTTATCTCTTTATTATCTTACTTTAGCTTATTTACACTCCCCAAAAAATATGTTACACTCCACTCTCGACCTTAAATATTTATTTCCATAACTCTTATCGAACACATTTCCCTTCTTTTACTTGCATTCCTTTTGGGGGCTGCCTATCTGCCGGATCTCCTGGGTATTTACCTGTCTGCCACCACCTGTAACGCCTCCACCTCCTCCCCTGCACTACCATATTTACCCACAAACACAACACATTCGTCAAGCAAACAGCTGACCCACTTAGCCGCCGCTGGAACTGTTGACTGCCCTTTTGTGATTTGGACACTCCGGTTGGAAAGCAATTAATTACATTACAACGTGGCCAGCGAGGTACTACCAACCACACACCAAACTACACACACTACACACACTACACACACACCGCACACACCACAATGAAATTGTTAACAGCTTCGGAGAACCAAGAAGGCAGCGTCAATCAATCAGCAAAGCGTTTGGGAAACAGTCAATGGCCTCTGTCCGAGAACCAGAAGTCAAAGTCAAAGAATGGGGAAATACCAGGAGGGTCTTAAAGGGGGGACTACCTACGATTGGGACTCCTCTATATAGTATATTGGGAATCGATTCCGCAACTTCACGCTCCGGGTGCCATTATCATTATTTATTTGGTGCGACAAACGTTTCGCCACCAATTAGGGCGAGAAACGCGAACATTTTTCATTCGCCATGGCTCAAAGGCAGGCCAAATGGCAGGAATGGCTGAAAGTTGCCAATTTGGCTTTCGTTTTCGGTACACTTATGGCCATGGGTGAAAAGTTCTCAGGCGACTTTCGGTTCTTCTGGAGTTTGGAGTTACAGTGGGTACTTGGAAAAAGGAAAATAAATTAAAAAGGAAAAATTTTGGTGGTTTAACAAAATTCTACAAAATTTTATAAAGCTTTCAAATTAATTTAACAAATTTTCTAGGACATTTCCAGACAGTGCTTGTATTAAAATAATGTACATTAGGGTTTTTACAAATATTTTAAATTTATTTTAGATTTTTAAATATTTTATTTTGATAATTAGATATCATTTCTTTGCTTTAAGCTTATTTTTAAAGAACTTTGCTTTTGTTTCAGCAATTTTCAAGAATATATTCTGACAAAGTTTAGTTTAAAACTACAACCATTATCAACTTTTATAGCCCCCTCTAATTAATTCCAACACCCTGGAGATATTCAATTACTGGAGCGTTCTCTGTGGCAGTTCTCCGTTTCTATCACCAGGCCTTAATAGGGCTCCAAGTTCAACTGGCAAACTGAAACTGGCTAAAAACAATGCCCTGTTATGGATCCCCTTAACAAGGATGATGGCTTCCAGCCAGCGGCAGTTGGATTCCATATTCAAATGCGAGCAAACATGCACAGCATCCGCATCCTACATACAAACGGAAAACGAAACAGCAACCAAGGGCAAAAAAAAAATACAACCAACAAGAAAACAAGAAGAAAATCCCCCGAAAAAAATGGAGGGAAAAAACACAGGCGAAGAAACGACTTTCGGCATCACGTTTCACGAATTCGCAGCAGAACACGGCTCCGACTTCTGGCACACTAAAAGAAAACAAAAGCAGCCCAAAGCTGCAACAAAAAAAGATTGAAATAAACACGGCTGAGAGCCAAAGCAATAAGTAAAAGTTGCTGCCAAAACGAAGCGAAGAACCCGGCCCAGAAGAAGCGTTGCAAGAAGCTGCAGCCTCAGCAGCAATCTTTGTAATGTATGCTCCTCGATGCGATTCATTGTTCGACTCCTACTCCCGACGACTTCAGTGCCAGTCTAACTCCACCATCGCCCCCACAATATCCTGACTAAGCTTCTCCTGGCCTAAACCCAGCCCCAATCCAATCCCCCCCTTTCGTGATCAACGGTTCTGCACGCGCTCACGTTTGGGAGCATCGAGAGCAGCGAAATATTGGGGGAAAATTGCAAATAAAAGCAGGGAAAACTAGGGTCTAACAGGGTTTTTTAGGGAATTGTCAAGGCCCTAAGAAAGATACATCTATTGTTAAAAATATTTTTCTAAATAAAATGCGCTTCTCAAAACTTTTTTCAAATTT